ATCATACGTCCTGTTTCTCTTCACTACCGCAGCTCTGACTTCATGGCTATAATGATGAGGATCACCTCATATGGAAAGAATATTATTTGAAAGTGAAAAGGGTTTTTTTATTCATAAACAGAAGGCATCTTGTGTAAGATCACTGGACAGGAAATAAGATTCTGAAGTTTTGAAGAACTGATTTTAGAAGAGCTTCATACTGAGCTGTAGAAATTACATATTTACATTCACCATAATTTCTAATATGATTTCCTTTAGAAATCAAATTTGACCAAACTTGTATTCGGACAACTAAAGATTTATCTAAATTAGTTCTATTTGCTAAATGCCACAATAATGAGACAAAAAACTGGTCCAATTTTTTAATACCTTTGAAATCAGAACTTTGCATGTTTCCTCAGTATTCGATACTGCATACCGTCAAACCACTTGGCTCAAATCATCTGAGTTTCTTTCCAGAAGGTTCTCCCAGTGAAAAAAATTCTAGCAGCACACTAACAGGGAGTGTGTAGACTATCTCTATAAAGCCTACACACTGACACATACCGTTTGATGTGTGTATTGATAAATGACCTTTGATTAGTATTGAAGTCCACACTCCAGCCCGGGAGGAGCGATTGGTCTGCCAAGCACCAATAAAACAAAGATCAGCACCTGACATGATGATAAACCTGAAAAAGCCAGCACAGGCAACTTCCAAGTAAACAGAAGTGAAAAAAAAGAGAAAACACTAAACCGACAATAAAAAATTTATCTAACAACCAAAATAGATCAATAAAAGAGAAAAAACTCTGGGTTTCAGATTGTTTATAATATGAAATGCATCCACATCTGTTTGTCCATGAATGTTATACATAAGAAGAGGTGGCAGAATTTTTTTAAAGACGTTTGAGAGTAAAAACTTGCCAATAATAATGAATATATTTAATAGCCTTTCAAGAATTTGCTTCTGTTCTCCGGATTCCAAAAATAATGTCCTTCTAAGAAAATTTAAGTAAGTTTGGATTTTTAGGGATGAGTGACATCCCACAAATCTTCACAATACACTGAAGCATAGAAAAGCTGATTCATCATCACAAAATAAACAAGAGTTATCAGAAATGGCAAATCGAAGTCTAAGGAATTCTTGAGAGGGAAACACCTGAAAAGATTTTAAGGTGAACTTAGCTTTTGAAGGAACAGGAATATTTAAATAGTTTGCCATATTTTTTTTCCCTTTGATCTTTTGAAAAGAAATGTAATATATAATTTGGAGTTGATCCAAAATGAAACAAAATACTAGGAAAACATTCCCTAATTTTAGAATTTTTTAGAAATAATAAACTAAAAAATTCTAAAATTAGGGAATGTGGCCACACAGGCAAAACAATTCTATAAGGGTTTTCAAAAAGACTTTTAGCTGAGTCTACACGAGAATAACAAGCAACATAAAATAGTTGCATATATTGATACCATTCAAGAAAGAAGACAACAAATCAGTCATTAAACAAGAAGTTTATGGAAGAACATGACAGAATCAGTGGGAAGGATTTACTGGAGGACAGGACAAAATAGAAAAGAGGAAACAATTATAACCAGATTACGTTTTAGTCATTCAGGGTTAAATAGTTCTTTGTGTAAAACGGAAAAACATCCAAGAGGAAAATGTGATTTTTGTTTTCAGAAAGAGACAATGTAACAAATATTCTATTGAGAGGATCGTGGTATGAAGATTACACGATTTTCCCCTTCTAAATCTTATACCTTTTAATGAACATTTCTTAAGAAGACAAAATCGATAGAGTATGTGGTGTTTTTTTGTTTGTTTGTTTTGAAGTCTGTGTAATTAATAATTTGGCATCCCGATCCACCAGTTGATGGCGGTAAAGCACATCTAGACGTTGCTTGTCAAACAATAAGCAATAAGTAAAAGAAATTGAACTTTTAGAATATTAAAAACAACACATAATTTTAAAAATGTAATTGAATATAAAATAAATCAAGGAGAAGCAAGAAAAGAAGGCAAAGAAAACAAAATGGAGAGATTTTTGTGATTCAGTAAGTAGAACAACTCCTGTAGCTAAAGTATGGGGAATAATTAAGAAAATAAGGGAAAATAAACAGCAGAGAACAAACCCAATTCTAAAACAAGAAAAAGGAACATCGGTAACAAATTAAGAGAAAGTAGAAGTAATGGGAAGAACATTTGCAAAGATCCATAGTTCAGATAATTTAACAGAACAGGGGAGGGAGCAGGCAAGAAGGGCAAATGATTTTATTTTAGAAGGTGAAACAACTCCAGGTAATGTCATGATGTTTCTTTTTCCATGCAAGAAATGAAGAGAGCAATATTTAGATCAGGACTAACAGCACCAGGAAAAGATCAGATATGGCACATTATTTTAAAGAAAACTTTCAAATATGCCACTGAAAAAATATGTTTTGGTTTATATAATGAGATCTGGGAAGAAGGAAGATTACTTACTAATTGGAAGGAAGCAATAATTGCGCTAATTATTAAACCAGGAAAGGATCCAACAGAACCTTCAAGTTATAGTCTAATTTCACTTTCTTCATGTTTAGGAAAAATTATAGAAAGAATGATAACAAAAGAATTACATATTATTTAGAAAGTAAAGGACATTTGTCTTCATGTCAAAGTGGATTCAGAAAAGGAAGAAGTTCAATGGATCCATCTGTGTATTTGAAATCAGATATTAGAAAAGTTCAAATTAAAAGAGAAGTAGTGGTAGCAATATTTTTTGACATTGAGAAAGCATATTACATGGCATGGAAGGATTGAAATGGGGATTACAGGAAGGGCATATAATTGGATTAAAGAGTTTTTGTTTAATAGATTTACACAGGTACAAATGGGAATAACAAGGTCCAATAAATATAAAATTCGTAATGGAAGTCCACAGGGAAGTTTATAATTTTCAATCATGATGAATGATGATTTTACAGAAGTAGATCAGGATGTCATGCAGTCATTATTTGCTGATGATTTTGTGGAGAAAAGGAAAAAATGTAAGATTAGTGCATGGGAAATTACAAAATGCTATTATATCTGTTGATAAACGGGCTTATGACTGGGGAGTTAAAGTCTCAGCAGGTAAAACAAAGACTGTTGTATTTAGTAAGAAGAAAATGGATTTAAAAATATATGGAGAAAAAATATAAAAAGTAAGTAAATTTAGTTTTTTAGAAATCTTGTTTGATTCCAAGCTTTTATGGGTCTATTTTGTAAAGTATATTGAAAGGAAATGTAAAAAAGTTATAAATATAATGAGGTGTTTTACAGGATTACATTGGGGCGCTAATAAAATGAAAAAAGATTTATGTTGCCTTGATCAGATTAGTGTTGGATTATGGATGTGTAGTTTATTGGCAGGCTGTGAAAACAGTGATGAATAAATTAGAAGTAATTCAGAATCAAGCTTTGAGATCATGCAGTGGAGCTTTGAAGACTTCTTCATCTTTGGCAGTGCAGGTGGAAATGGGGGAAATTCCTTTATATTTATGACGAAAAGCAAATTATGCTGAATTATTGGGTAAGTTTGCAGGGACATAAGGAGGAGACCCATCCAGCACTAAGAATCCTGAGATCTTGTTGGGAGAGTGGAAAAGCTAAAATAGACTGTTCTGCATGGGCAGCAGATAAATGGGGATACTGTACAGTGAAAGAGATACTGTGCTGCTGTCCCTTATTCAATAGCACCTGTTTGGTTGCTTCCATATGTGAATGTAGACCTAGAGGTTCATAAAGAAATATAGACTAATAAAGGTAATAACTGGGTAGATTTTATAAATGATAGAATTAAGAATATGTATAAATCCTTTACAATTACATATACAGATGGTTCAAAAGATTTTGTTTCAGGTAAAACAGGAATTGCTTATTATGCTATTCCTGAATTAGAGGTATTTATGAAGCAAAGAAGAACTGACCAGTTAACTCTGTATGTGGTGGAAATGTTAGTAATACTGATGGTCTTACAGTGGGTAGAGCAAAATAAAACTGAAAGAGTTCTCATAGTTCAGATTCATTACCATCATTAATGTCCATTTTAAATAGAAAAAATGGAAAGTCCTATGAAGCTGATATGTGAAACTTATGAAATTATACTAAGAATAACAAGCTCAAATAATAACTTGCCATACAATGACAGACCATTGTCTTTAAAAGCTTTTGAAGGAACAGGAATATTTAAATAGTTTGCCATATTTTTTTAATTACAATAAGCGGTAAATCAGAAAAAAAGTTTCATGAATCCCAAGCATGCTTTTACATTTTCTGATAGTAGATAATAATCCAGTGCAGGTTTGAAGAGTTGGTGTTGCAGTTTAAAGATGCGGAAGGTAGTGAAAAATTAGGTGGAATCGCCCTTTTGTCGTTTCCCAAATCGGAAACGTAGAATTATGGAAATAGCAAATCTGAAATAAAATCAATTATTAAGAGCAAAACTAAATCTGAATGGCAACAATTGTGGGAGGGGAGAACTAAAGGTTGTCATTTATTTCATAAAAGAAAGTAGGAAATATGGGAAGAAATTGGAGGAAATCAAATAGGAACCAGTAGGAATGACAAGATCACTGTGTGCTCATACATGATTAAATAAAACTTTTCATTTGATAGTTAAACATGATATGGATATGGATCTGGAGACAGTAGAACATGTAATAATTCATTGTGAAAAATATGGAGTAAGTAGAGAAAAGCTAAAACAAGAAATTAGGAAGTACTATATATATATATATATATATATATATATATATATATATATAATATACATTAAAATTGAATAAAGATTAGTTAAAATAAATAAAGAAGTGATTAATTTTTTAAAGGAAACAGGTCTATATATAAGAATTAAGATTAGGTTGAAAAAGGGAAAAACTGATCCACGCTCCAGCATAGTAGATGGCAATAATACATCTTAACGGTAGATGTCACCCGCCAGTAAAAATCAGAAAGAAGAAGAAGAAGAAGAAGAAGAGGAGGAGGAGGAGGAGGAGGAGGAGGAAGAAAAAGAAGAAGAAGAAGACTGTGGTATAATCGGTCCTCGGAGTGAGTCTGACTGAACCTCTGCTGTAACATTTAAAGGTAACACATTGACTGCGTGTATATATATATATATATGTGTCAAGCTGATGCCAACATTTGAGCGATATCTGATGCAGTCAGTAATTCAGTGACGTTTATCTGTATGAGAGTTTGAAGGTATTTACAGGAACGCAGTGTCTTCTCTCTGTCAGCGCTAATATAAGGATTAGAGCTGAAATGTGTTTGTAGCTGTTTGCCTCGTGACAACTAAAATAATTACAATAAGCTGTGAACGGCTTATACATATAACTTTATATGTTTGACAGGTTACTCAGTTTAAACGAAGTTTGCCTCTGATTTGATGCTCGACTACACGACATAGAACTACAACACCTAGACACTTTAAACCTTATTCTCAACTAATAGCAGAATATTTGAAACCATGTCTGCGATTTGTAGAACCTTTATCTGATTTGTGAAACCTAAATAAAGGTTTATTTGACCACATCTTTGCATTTGGATCACGCTAGAGCTGCTCCAGTTGCTGAAATCCAACTCATAGACTCTTCAAACCTGGACTAGATTATTCTGCTCAATATTTAGAATCATGCTTGGGATTTGTGAAATTTCACTAAAGTTTACATTACTATTCACACTTGTCCCATGCAGTCTTTTTTTCAAATTCAGATTTAATTCAAAACCACTTTATTATTCCCAACAGAAAATGAAATGTTGGTGGAACTCTTCAAAGAGTTATTGTAGATGGTGATGGCTGTTGGAAGGAAAGATCTTCTGCAGCGGTCTGTTAAGTGAAGTGAACTGTAACAAATCAGAAAAAAGTTTCATGAATCCCAAGCATGCTTTTATATTTTCTGATAGTAGATAATAATCCAGTGCAGGTTTGAAGAGTTGGTGTTGCAGTTTAAAGATGCGGAAGGTAGTGAAAAATTAGGTGGAATCGCCCTTTTGTCGTTTCCCAAATCGGAAGCTAGAATTGGAAACCAACTCCAGCTTCATGACTTCAGATGCATTCTGCAGCATTTAATGACTCGCCGCTACCTTTATTATCCAATAGTTTGATATCTAAAGTTTGTGCCCTACCCAGCCCTGAAATGGTTTACTTGCATCTCATGAGAATTTTTTTACTTTTTGTGCTTCTGTGAGGAATTAAAAGAAAGAAGATTTTCTTGAAAAATCTGTTTCTGTTTGTTTTTTTATCATGAGACCAATGCTTTTCTCCAGCCACCAGGCAGCAGTTCCTGGAGGAGAGAGGGTGTTGTACTTCAGGAATCACATCAGTCATTTTAAGGATGCTTGTTGGTCGGACATTATCATCAATCAGTGAAAACTTAAAAACGAGATGTTATGCTGCTGGCATTTAGCAACAACTCAGAGGCGGAAGGGAGAGCGATGCGCAACATAATCAGTCACCAAGGTGGTGCACTAGTAGTTTAACAAACCTTCATAATGTGCCCTGAGAATTTTTAATAATGGAGGTAATCAAATCATTCAAATACATTATTACAGCCATACTTTATTTGTCAAAAGAAGCACACACAAATATGGCAATTCACAATAGTGTAAATCTATAGAGACATGCAAATGAGAACACAAAAGCTAAACAGATTTAAATAAAATAAGATAAATAATGATAATAATAATAAAACCGATGCCTCAATCTAATAAAATACGCAGTTGCAGAAAAGCATGTTAGAACTGGTCTGGAGACGGAGATAACAGGATGTCTCTGGGCAGAGTTCTCCATTCAATTGAAAGATTACATAAGAAAATGTAACTGTCTCCCTGTGTCCTTATTAATGTCCAGTGAGAGTGTTAGGTGATAGATCCAACAACTGGAGAATTGCATTGTATTCAATTTGGTAGATGTTTGTTTATAAGAGGAAGAGCAACTCAGTTTGTTGATCAAAACAGAAATGCTCTCAGCTCGTCGGCTCCAAAATGGCATCCAGCTGATTTTTGTAAAAGTGGACAGCAGGACTGACAGTTGGTTGCAGGAACTAGATAACCTAACAATGATAATCTTCATATCATGGCCCCCAGGCCTTCTTAAACAGACACACCCTGCCACACCAATCAGCTAGATTCTATTCTCTCTCCTGCTGTACTTCTTGTGTTGCAGTTCTGTTTTTATTGGTTGTTGTTGTGTTTTCAGTCAGCCAATGAAAACCGTAGCAGTTCTCGGAGGAGGTATCGGGGGTTTGGCTGCCTCTTTCTACCTGTGCAAGAACCCCCAGGTTGCCAAGGTAACACACCAAAACATTCACATCCAAGCGATCACTAATCAAATTCAGTTTTAATCAACCAGTGTGAGGATGGTTACTCGTTCTGAATGCCACTGGGTTGCAGTTTCTTCAACATGGAATCAGGTTGAAAAGACAACAGCAACTGTTGTTACCCATCAGCTTCTGATTGGTTATAAGGCCATATTGAAACTATTTGAAGTTCATCGTTCTTCAAAAAACATAACCAGTGCGAAACTTAAGATTCAGCTGTTAATCATGTCAACAGAAGAGAATTCTCCTGGAATGCTCCCCTAAGGTGTTTCAGTCTTCACCGGCCTTCGTTAGCATGTCCAAGGTTCCAGTTCAGGACAGAACAGAAAGAGTGTGAACACAGACATCGCTCTGGGACCGTCAGAGAGGAACACAGAGACAAACAGCCAAAGACCCTGAGAGAGTTGGCCAGTGATAAATTACTGGCCAACTTCTATCAGTTCTTACTGCCCAAAATTCTTCTATAAACTCTGGAATGATGTTCTATACTTAGTGTGATGTCTTTCTTTAGTTTTTTTGATCTACACTTTTTCCATTTTGACTTTCTTTATCCAACTTATGTAACTTGTGTCAAATTTGGCAAATGATTTTCTATTTAATTTTGTTGAAAATGTAACCATATTTAGAATTCTTGTGGCACGAACTTTTAACCTTCAGTAGTCATGAGAAACAAAGTCTTCACACCCCTGGCACATTGAGTTTTAACATTTTCAGTCAGTCAATGACCATGTTGGTCTTTCTCTTAGAGGGAGGAACATCTCACAAGATGATCAACTTTGACTTGTCTTTAATTTAATATTTGATTTTAAAAATTATGTTTCAAAAGTATTCCTTACTTTTTATCAATCATTTCGAAAAATTATTTTTGACATTCTGTTAATCAAATCCCTTCCAATAATTGTTTGTTTCCACTACTTGTTAAATCTTTGGGGATGAGTTTAGAAGGCCTCTGAGGCATCAACCTGGTCTTTAGCTCCCTCAATCAGATTCAGTTGGAACTCTTACTAGGACATTCCCAAGCATTATTATTACTGCCACAGTTATGAACAGGGGCGCCGCCAGGAATCATGGGCCCCATGACAAAAAATGTAATTGCCCCCCGTCACCTCCCACCCTCTCCCTGTGCCACTACTGTTACAGTTTCTTGAGTATCTGACCAAGATAAAACATCACAATTTTAAAGGGAGTTGCAAAACTGCCTTGCTTTCTTTGGTCCAATACTGATACTAACACAATATTTACTGCTTGGGAATTTTACATGCAACAGTCTGCATACAATACAGCAAATAGGTTGCTTAAATTCTTTATTATTAGTTTTATCTTACTGAAAGGTCTCTCGTCACTGTCAACAGTTACAGACAATGTGCAAAATATACATTAAACAATCCAGATTTTAAAAAAAAAGACATGTGTTGTTGCATTTTATTCAAGCTGCAGTATATAACTTTAATAATAAAAGATATGTTTTCTCCGTATTTGTTAAAGCTGTCACCATCTTGTGAAAGATTGTTTTGAGACAGATAACCTGTGAAAATATCAATGTCCTCCACCTGCTCCCTTATCTACTATTGCTAGCTGAAGTAGTACAACGTTCCTGCCACAAACAATCAATCAGAACCAGGAGGAGGGTCTTAGTGCTGTCAATCAACTTCAGTTGTTTCACCATTAGCACATTTCGCAGTGAGAGAATGATCATTACAGGAAAAATGTTTATCTGCCATCATCAGTAGCTACGCTAGCTAGACTGAGCATTCACAACAGGCTGTGCTAGCTGCAGCATAGCACAGAGCGAAGGGGACGAAGGATGAGATTGTGACTGACCCTTGGTCAGAACTCTTACTACCCTTAAAACCCTCCTGACTCTGCTTGGAGATAGGAGTGGCAGAAGGTAGAGGAAATAATTTTTGACAAATTATCTCTCATGCCAGACTGTCCCAACACAGTGACAGTTTTAACAAATATGTAAAAAAAAATTTTATAAAAGTTTCATACTTCATCTTTAATTTCACTTAGGAGAGGACGGGTCAGGAGGAACGTGGCAACAGATATCTGTCATTTAAGTGCAAGTTGAGGTAAAACTGTGTAGCTAAGCTAACTGCGCTAAATGGTTGATAATCTCACAGTCTACTCACCTCTCTTGGAGAAAAAGTGGGTTACAAATTCACACTCTTGACTTTTTATCTTTTATCTCTCTATTTTTTATTTATTTATTCATTTTTTTGAAAACCTGACTTTATTCTTTTTCTTAGCAGCATAATATGCTTTATTGAAAGTAGAAAACAAAATACATGAAACAATTTCTGATATATATTAGAATAAAACAGCAAATGGATTTTGGTCATTTTAATGCTTCCGACAACAACGCAAGGCTACTGGTGTGTTACTGCGCTCAGCTGTTTGAGCCCTTAAGGAGAGTCGGAAAGTGCAGGTTGAATCCTCCCGAGAGGATACTGCCTTCTTCTGTTGTTGGTTCTGGTCTTCTACTGGCTGCTCACTGTCAAGCATCAAGCAGGAACAAAGCATTTCATGCAGATCCAGGGGAATTCAGAGCAAATATAGATGTGTGATTTTTGGGTTGGAAGGGGTAACATTTAATTTTTAATGCTAAAAACTATTTTAGAAAAAAGTAATTGACAGGACCCCAATTTTGTGTGTGTGTGTGGCCCCCTGTCGGTCAAGGGCCCTTGAAATTTTCCTAACTCCCCCCCTTATTCCCATCCTGAGTTATGAAAAATGGAATAATATGTGGCAGCTATGTTAATGGCTGTCAGGAATGGTCAATAAAGGAAACTGCTGCCTTAGCTACAGATGTAAAGCATTGTTTGTTCTCTAATTTAGTTTTGAATGTCCAGTTGTTCACTATTAGTGTTCATCAATATTCTACTCATATAAGTTCAAGCGCAATTTTAGGACAGCTTTGAAGAAAAATGAATGAAGCCTATGATGCATTTACTTGACATCAATCAACAGGTAATCGTTCTGGAGTCCAGCAGTCGTTTTGGTGGTTGGCTGTGGTCACTGAGGCGGCCCGATGGGGCCGTGTTTGAACTGGGACCGAGGGGGATTCGACCTGCTGGGGCAGTGGGAACCAACACACTCAATATGGTTTGTAACACCTACGTGCTGCTGTTTTGAACATTTTCCTCAAACTAATAGAAACATTTTATTGCTACAGTGGACTTAATATGGATTTGAGAGCCCACTGATTAAACTTTAGGAACATTAATTGTTTTAGATTTGATGTAGAAATGCTAAAAGATTTTCATCATGAGAAATAAGGATCTACTATAGACCAAACAGCCTGTAGACTAGTAACTGTGTCATAAGATGGGTTGATGGTCCTTTGGCATGAGAGTGTATCTGTCCTGGCCTGTTTTCCTATTCAGAGAAAATCCTCTCATATCTGTGAGATTCAGTGCACAGGAACACAGAGAAACTGATTTAAAGATCCTTCTTGTCACTGTGGCGATTTCTTTCCCCACCATTAGCAGTAAGTATTCTACAAGGACTTCACCATTTTTTACTCAGTCTTTGTAACTGGAATTAAGGGAACAAGAGACTTAAAGAATGAGTATAGATGTCAACAATCATTAATTAAACTCTGAGAACTTGATTAATTTCAGCATGAATTTGATGTTTGTATTTGCAGGTGGACGATCTGGGTCTGGAGGGAGATATTCTTCCAGTTTCCTACAATCATGTTGCCTCTAAGAACCGCTTTCTGTATGTCAATGGCCAGCTCCACAAGTTGCCTTCTGGAATAAGGTAAAGAGATTAGGAGCCAAGATATCACCTTGGAGATTTTCCAGAGGAAGAAAAAAAGATCAAGAATTTTTTTGTTAAGCTATACATTCACTGCAGTTCAGATGATTCTGGGAACACAAGAGCAAAGATTCTGTGTCAGACAACCAACAGATAAGACTTTTCAGACAGCATTGATATGATTGTTGCAACTGATTAGCATCAAGCTCACCAAGATCCAAACTATTTTGATATTTGGAGTTCAGTTTACGGGTGTAAGAGGTATGTTCTGCAGTTTGTGATATCACAACACTAAAGCTTTAAACAGCATCCGCCCATCTACAGCTGCTTATCAATTCTGGGTCATGGAAAGCTGGCACCTTTCGCCAGCAGTCATTGGGTGAGAGGCAGGGTACACCCTGGCAGATCACCGTTCTGAAAAAAACATAAAAAACAGTTATGTGAAATCTCAATCACAGTCTTTCATCTCTAACATTCTTTGTGTTAGTGGCTCTTCAATCACGTTCACTCTCCCTCCTTGCTCTTTGTTACAGTGGAATTTTGAAAACAGTCGCTCCATTCTCCCGGCCCCTTCTGTTCAGTCTCCTCACTGAGCTCTTGGTAAAGAAAGGAAGAGAAGAGGATGAGTCCATTCATTCATTTGTCTCCAGGAGGCTTGGAAAGGAGGTAAGGGGCTCACAACTACTTTTCTGTTGCTGCATCAATCATTAATATTGCTCTTTTATAAGAACTAAACCTAATGTTATTTTATTAGACAACATTTTCAGTTTCTCCAGAATGGTTTCTTGTTCACAACAAAAACTTGTAAAGTTTGGTCCAGCTCTGACCTTGTGGGAGTTATTGCACCCTCATCTTTTATGGAGAGCAATCAGACTTTGAGGTTTGAGGTCATGATCACATGGTTTGATGAAGCAAAAAGCATTTGATAACTTTAGATCTCAAATGCCTTAAGATAATACTGATTCCAAATGAGGTCTATAAGTCCAAAGTTGTGAGGACAGCCAGCGATCCTCTGAGCTGCTTTTACGACCCTCTGCAGCCTCATCTCTGTGTTCAGGATCACCATACTGTGATGCAGTATGTCAGTATGGCAGCTGCAGAATCTGGATGGATGAGCGGTAAAAGGTCAACAGCAGGTTGGAGTTTAGTTTGTGCTTTCTGAGTACTCTCAGCTGCTGGGCCTTCTTGATGACTGCTGGGATGTTATCAGTCCAGGAGAGGTCAGCAGAGATGAGGACGGCAAGAAACCTGAAGGTGTGGACCCTCTCCACACTCAGCGTCAATGTAGAGAGGAGCTGGGTCGGTGCTGAGCTTCCTGAAGTCCACAATGACAATGTCTAGGCCCCCCCAAAACACATTTTATTTAACAAAAAAATATATTTTCAGTTATAATAGGCCATCACAGCGCTTTCATTGTTTATGCCTCAGCAACAAGCAGAATTGGGCGTCCCTCAGAACCTGTGGGTTGCTGGCTCCGCCTCCCCAAGATGTTCACTGCTTGGCTGGAAGTAGATGCACATTCAGTTATCAAACAGAAATCAAATCTTGTTTGTTGATGTTTCACTGATTTCCTGTTCAGTGGGGAAGGTCTGTGAGAAGTACAATCAAAAATGGAATACTTAGGGGTGCTGTGGTGGAGTAGAACACAACTCGTATATGGAGACCTTAGTCCTTGACGTGGCTGTCGCAGGTTCGAAACCTGGTTTGATGATCTTTGTTGCATGTCTAGCGCTCCTCTCATTACCCACTTTCCTGTCTGACCACTCTTAAATATAGACCACAAACCGTTATGAGAGGGCCTGAAAGAGATCCACCATTAAACATGCCACCAAATGGATGACTTCCTGTAAAGCTTTGGGGTCCAGGAGGCTTTTTGGTGGCTCCTAACGGGTTTTAGTTGTATTTTTAATTCCATAATTCTTAAGTAGAACAAGACAACTGTCACTCTTGCACCATATATTATTGAAAATGTGCTTTAAGGTTGGTGGGGTTGAGGAGGTCTTTGAAGTATTATGCCCAATGTTCCACAACGTCCCGAGTGAGTCGTGACTTCAACTCTCGGGACGTTGTGGAACGGTGGGCATCCTGCAGACCTCAACCAGAGAAGAGCGAGGACAGCCAATGATCCTCTGAGCTGCTTTTACCGCCATTAAAGCAGCTCAGAGGATCGTTAGTTGGTGTTGCACTAACTGTGCAGCACCAACATAAACAGTGTTGGTGCTGCACTGCTTCCCTCTCCTGAGACGCCAGATGGTGAACCAGAATCGCCTTGAAACCAGAATCCTTAATGAGCCCTGGACTCATTGAGGAAGCTGAGCCCAGGGACTCTGGGTCGGGCTCTCTAATCTTTGGGGAAGAGGTCGCCGAGGTGGTTAAAAATCTCCTCAGTGGTAGTCGACATGTGTTTTGTGGACTTGGAGAAGGTGTTTGTCCCTCAGGGAGTTCTCTGGGAGTATGGGGTACCGGGCCCTTTGATACGGGCTGTCAGGTCTCTGTACGACCGGTGTAGGAGTCTGGTCAGCATTGCCGGCAATAAGTTGGGCTCGTTTCCGGTGGGAGTTGGACTCCGCCAGGGCTGCCCTTTGTCACAGATTCTGTTCATTTCTTTTATAAACAGAATTTCTAGGTGCACCCAAGGTGTTGAGGAGATCCGATTTGGTGGCCTTGGGATCGAATCTTTGCTTTTTGCGGACGATGTGGTCCTATTAGCTTCGTCAGGACGCTGGAGCGGTTCGCAGCCCGAGTGTGAAGCGGCCGGGATGAGGATCAGTGCCTCCAAATCCGAGGCCATGGCCACTGCTCCTCCACATCAGGAGGAGCCAGTTGAGGTGGCTCGAGCGTCTGGTGAGGATGCCACCTGGATGCCTCTGAGGAAGACCCAGGACACGCTGGAGGGACTATGTCTGGCCTGGGAATGCCTTGGGATTCCCTTGGAGGAGCTGGAAGAAGTGGCTAGGAAGAGGAAAGTCTGGGCCTCCCTTCTTAAGCTGCCGGATAAGCGGCAGACGATGGATGGATGGATCTTCAAATTTGCCAGAGATGTTCATTGAAGCACAACATAGTGCAAAAATATAAAAATTGCCAACTTTCTGTTTGGTACATTGCCATAAGACTGCTTTTGATTTTCTGTTTTTACAAAATTTGATGACTAATTCCATCAGTTTATGTATTTATAATGGAGAATAAAAAACAGCATGCTTCGATCTAATCAAATCAATTCAATCTATTTGTGCTATTGAGTTGTTTTCCTCTGTGTTTAGTTGGCAGACCTCGCTGTGGACAGTTTGTGTCGGGGTGTGTTTGCGGGGGACTGTAAGAAGCTGAGTGTGCGCTCCTGCTTCCCTTCGCTCCACATGGCTGAGCAGCAGAGAGGTTCCCTGACTCTGGGCTTCCTGCTGGGCTCAGGTAAAGCACACACCTCATTTCCTTTTCCCTTCAGGTTTCAGGCATATCTTAATAATACTTTTTGGATGCTATATCTCCCCAAATTTAGTGGAGTTCTAGGTTGCTTCTAATCAGACGAACAGTAGTGGCTTCACAGCCATAAAAACATAATCCTTTTCAGTTTTAGAAAATCTTTTTTTTTTTTTAGGCTAGTGGATAAAAATGTCATTATCTTTTGCTCAGATTTGCTTGTTGAGGGAAGTCCATTTTGTAGAGTTTGGCCACTTTTCTTTGTGGCAGATGATGACTATATGTTGTCAGTTTTCAACACCATAAGTCAGACTGATGGTGCAACCAGATTCTGAATATGTAAAATTGTATGTTCAGTAAAATTACGTGGTATGGTAAACTTGACATGAGCTGTATGTTTTGTGGCATGTGATGTGTAGATGTGTGATGCTAATTTGAAAAATAGTCTTTTTTCTGCTCTCCTATCAATGATCTTCATAGTTTAATTATAATAAAATGATATGTTTGGAATCCCCCAGGTTCAGCACCTGCGATTACTCCGGGACATCTGGCTCAGAGAGCGAAGAGAGAGGCCTGGGCTCAGTGGTCTCTAAAGAGGGGAGTGGAAACCTTGCCAGAGTCCATCACTGAGTTCCTCCAACAGAGCGGCAAGGTGGAGCTGCACAGGGATGCAGCTGTAAAACAAATAATTCCCACAACATCTGGATGGAAGGTTTGTAAGAATATCATAAAAACTCAACCTGAATGTGGCATTGTAAGCATAAGATTCTATCATCTGTATTACTTTGCATTGATGGTTTGACAATGTACTTAGAAGTTAAGCCCTGTAGCGAAATGGTAAAGAAATGACCTGGTAAAGAAATGACCTGGTAAAGAAATGACCTGGTAAAGAAATGACCTGGACTGACCTGTAAATGGTCTGAACTTGTACAGGTCTCTATCAAGTCCAGACAACTCCAAAACATGTCACACTACATTCAGTTATTCATACACACATTCACGTGCTGATGGTGGTGAATTACTGGATTTTAGCCACAGCTGTTCTGGGACAGTTTGACAGAAGCGAAACTGCCATGCAACAGCGCCACCTGTTGTCTCCCACCAGCAGGAAAGGCAGGTGAAGACCCAGACAGCAAAATATGAGTGAATCAAAGTTGAAATATGGTTATGTAGAAATATTGAATCCATGTTGAGGCCTGACATTGAAACAATATTAAAAGTGGTTGGTGACTTGCATGTCGAATCCACATTAGGGTTTCAACCATAATTGACACTATATCAATGTTGATTCAACCATCATCTACATTTAGATTTACATGCACTTCTCTGCTGATTTTGTATCAAAGTTGTTGAATCAATATTGATTCACATACATTTTTTGGTCTGATAGGTTTACATCAGGGGTGCCCAAAGTGGGTCCAGTATCCTGCACCCTGGCATCCCTGGTGGTACCAACATCCTTTTCAGCATGTCAGTGTTCATCTTAGGCCTCTAATGAGCCATCATTTGATCAGGTGTGTTAAACCAGGGCAAGAACTAAAACATGCAGGATGCCGGTCCTTGGGGACCACCTCTGGTCTACATCATAACATACCATTAAAAGTTTCTTCACTGCAGTTAAACACACAATTTTGTTTGTAGATGATGGATGTCATGATGTTTAAAGTTACCATATTTCCAATGTGTGTACACAAATTTAAAAATGACAATATGGCATTAATATTACTTTTCATTTAGGAAAACAGGCATAGATCTGTAAACATATTTGATTCCTTTGTAACTGTCAGAACAACAGGAAGAAGAGCGTCCAGGAGGATAAGCCTTGTACTGTATGAACCAGAAAAACAGTATGTGTTGGGATAACCCAGCACATACTGTTGGTTCCTTGATGCCTCCCTCCCACTCTGATACATAATGAAGCCACTTCTTTACAGTTTTGCTGAAGTGTTTGTCAGTCTGTGTTGGGACAAACTGCTGCTGAGCAGCAGCTGAAAACACAAAAATAAGAGTGAGGAAGGTGCGGTGAGAAAGATTTGAAACTCATTGAAATATTAAATATTGTACTGGTTATAGGTATGAGAACATACACACAAACCGTACGCCCCATTTGTACACTCAGTTAAATTTATAAGGACATGCCAAGGAATATTCATGAATATCTAACTTAATGTTAGTTGACATATAATCACATTTACCTGTGAAGCTGCAGCATAGGCACAAAACAATGCAATTATTTTCAATAAACACAGTTGAGACAAAAGTAATATCACAAAATATTCTATCAAAGTTCTCAGAGTAGAATTCAATTCAGAATCAGGTTGCAGACAAGCCAGCAGCAAAGGGGCTGTGTGGTTGGGTCAAACCACTGGGGTAAAAAGGGGAGGTGGGCCGCGCCACTGCTTGGAGTGACTTGTTGATGTTTTTGTGTCAACACATTATGCAGTCAGTCAGTAATAATATTTACAGATAGGTAAGAAAATGTACAGAAAGGAATCACAACCCTCTGTCCTCAACATATAGTGCTTAATTTAAGATGTGATAAACCCTGGTTTTAATCAAAACTTCCCACCCAGAGCTCAATGAGGAATATGGCAAACAGCAGACTTAATATTGATTAGCAGTTTTTCCTGACTCTGGTTCTCAAGTTCCACTGACCTGCCTGTTTCAGATGTTCCTCTGCTTCAACACACCCCATTATTTGCCTGAGCATATAACAATCAGGTTTGGCTTGATTGCAATTCAGCCACTACTGGTGGCTGGTAGAAGTCATGGGTGCTGAAGCACTTGCAGGGCAGTGTGCCTTGAAGACCAGGGTTGAAAAACACTGGACTTGTTGTCGTCTTTTCAATCATTAGAATTCGCCCATAAGACATTGATTCTATGACATCTTTACAACATTAGTTAATTGGCTAGAATTGGATGATGGTTTGACGGTTGATCCACCGTTAATCGTCGACCTTCTCCATAATTTCAACCTTTTTGACCATAATTCAACGTTGAATCAACATCTTTGTCTGGGACACAACAGACAAAGCGAGAATCGGTGGTAAGATTGAGGGACAAAATCCTTCCACCGTCACCACCACCATGGTGCAGCAGGACAGTAACAACGCAGTAGTGATGGGTAAATGAGGCATCATGAAGCGTTTCGACCCATAGCAAAACTGTATTGATACTGAATACTGACACCTGCTGGATCCTAAAAATCCCCACAGGCAACGTAGTTGACAAACAGATTTGATGACCTAGTCTATACAATATGATTTAAGTCACTGTATTTATTGTATGTTATATTGTATTATGTCATATCTTCAGTTAAATTAAAATATATATTTGATATTCTTAGATACAGTCAATAAATAATGTGAACATGGACCATAAAGTGAACATTTAAGTGAACATGCTTGGAATGACATATGCAACACTTACCCTGCACAACATCATATGAATGTAAACTAAGAGTCAATTTCAGATGAAGTTGGATTCAGATAGATCAAGTAGAAACTGAAAAGAACCGGATGAAACAACAAAGAAGTGAGAACCAACACCTTATTTTCTGATGTAAGACCAAAATGGTCCCAAACTACAAAATCTTTCGTTTGCCTTGAGGATACATAGTTGACACTTTACCGTAAAAGGTCAAGAATTCTTTTGGTAAAAGCATTGCATTGACAGATTTGCTTCCTTATAAACACAGTTTGGTGTGCCCGTGTCATTTTGAAACAGTTTCTGTATCGGTCGCTTGACTTGCTGAAAGCAATACGCGCACCGACACGGGGTTTTGTCTAAGGGCTTGACGCATGCGCCGACGCATCGGTGTTGCCAGACCAATCACTACCATGCAGACTGAGTCCACATTAAAGCTCTGATTCAGACAGTAAATATATAATCCTGCTTATAATCTGGACATGTTTCTTGCAGTAGTCAAGCCTAATCAACTCCACATGACTTGAAGTGTCCTGTTCAATAAAAGGCACATTTTGAGAAGATCAAGGATTGAAGTGCTGTTTCTACATCTATCACTTTGTCCATTAAACATTTTGTGTGTAGGTCCATATGGAAGATGGTGTAATATCAGCTGATCACATCATGTCTGCTCTACCAGCTAAAGGCAAGTGGGGACTTGTGTCAGTTATACCTGAAGGGGTCATTGATAAACTCACCTTCTGTATGAACAACATGGAACATTCAGTGGAGTTGAATGTTATCAGTAATTTTGATCAGAAATTGTAAGCATCTTGCACTTTAAGTGGTTGTACACATTTAAGAAACTGTAAATTGTTCTCTTGAACCGCCCTGCTCCCTCCAGCCCTGTCCTGCATCCTGCCCCCCTCCTGCCAGGATCTTGTCCAGCAGCTGCAGGACATCTCAACAGTGACTGTGGCTGTGGCCAGTCTGGAGTATGAGGGCTTCATCCTCCCAGTAACGGTAAGGTCCTCCAGACCCCTACTGTGCTGTATGTTTAGTCTGTCACACACAGGCCTGAATGAATGGGTGATTGACTTCTGTGGTACCTGAGAGCATGCCGAGGAAGTGTTGCTGTGGCTGGCCACAGTTAGAAATCAACAGAGCCAACAGCTGAATTCAGGCCACAGTGCAGTGGGAAGCCTGGTGGATAATGCATCATAAAATGGGATGTTCCTCATACAATGGTTTTGAGTTTATGATCAGTTGGATCCTTGAGCCTTCAGTGTTTCCAATTCTGAAGAGGAATGGTCTTCAAATGGCTATTCTGGGCAAGATGGAGACCTCAAACACACCAATTAGTAAAAAGGACATCAATCTCACACCAAGCTTGTGGCGAGATTATGATGTGACAGCCCAATATGGGTTTTAGCCCAATGAAACTTGAATGACATTCAAGATTCTATAAGAACAAAAACAAGGAAATGTTGTCTAGTCTTCTTGGACTGTAATACCTCTTCATAGGTGTTAGAAATTAGCCAACTTTGTGCAATACAAATCTGTTCAGTTCTTAAAGACAGTGCAATGGAAAATGCTGATTCACATGATGCATTCATCAGTTTGTTTTCAAGGACACTGCTGTTTCAACATACTTTATTTTCCTAATTTTTTGAAGAAACACATATAGTATATATTTTTTTCTTCATGTTTCGATTTGAAACAGAATGTGGCATACTGTCAGTGCATGTGTAAAGAAATTGTAGCCATTATAAGAATTTTGAACTTTACTCACTTTTCTAAACACCCTGGCACTATTTTCTGTTTGTGTTGTTGTCAGGGTTTTGGCCACCTTGTTCCTTCATGGGAAGACCCAGGTTTACTCGGGATAGTCTATGATTCTGTTCCCTTTCCTCAGCACAACAGACAGACTGGACAGACAACAAGGCTGACGGTACTCACACACACATACATACATGCTTACAGTGCTATATTTTACTATAAATCTGTAATTTCTTTGTCTACTTGGAAAATATGTGACTGGTATTTTAATAAGGACAGTGAACTCTCTGATCATGTTGTGACAATCTGCAATGGGCCATGGGACACACTGAACATATATGTGTGTGTGTGTGTGTTCAGTGCGATATACACACCCTAGTTTCCATCTGAATATGGCCTCTGGCTGAAGGGATTTTAATGCAAGATTCTCTCATTTGCCAAAGGATTTCCTTATTAAATCAGCTCGTGGTTGTAAAGTGCCATGAAAGTTCCAGGGGTGTAAATACTTATGGAGGACTCTGTATGTATCACGTGTGAAATCTTGTAACAGATGCAGTGCTGGTGGGTTGAACTCTGGTATTCTCATCATGTCTCCTAGGTCATGATGGGAGGTGCCTGGTTCCAGAATGTGTTTGGGGCCCCCCAGGCTGTCTCAGCAGACAGCCTCTTAGCGAGGGCCACCGAGGCAGTGCGCTGCCACTTGGGACACCTTGTGGCCCCCAGCTGGAGTCATGTGGCTCTTCACAGGGTACAGCAGCTTCACTCACTCTAGTTCAGACCCAGTTAGCACTGACTGCTGATGGCTTCATTGCTGTTTACCTTCTCAGGATTGTATACCTCAGTATCACCTTGGACACTTTCAGAGAGTAGGTGAGTGTTGATTTGTGTTTTACATGAAGCATAAAATATTCATGGCATCAGGAAAAATTATTAAGACTGTTTTTGTTTTTTTCAGACACCATGCGAACCTTCATAAAGAACAATAACCTACTGCTGTCTCTGATTGGCTCAGCATATGATGGTGTGTCTGTGAATGATGTCATCTTCAGTGGACGAACAGCTGTAGCAGAGTTGTTGGGAGGCGGAGTTTGATGCAACATGAGCAACAGATCTGATTCTCATCTTGAAATGCATTAATGGAGTTTATTTAATTTTCTGAGAAACCTTCAAATATTTTGTCCCCATTTTTAAGGGAACTGTATTTCTATGTCTTTAAAGTGTAACTGAGCCCTCTCTGAAAGCATCAAAATTGGACAAATTATGAAAAACTCAAGAAAGTGGTGAGAGCCAAAACGCACTCAGGGGTGTTGCCTAATGTGTGGATGATTGGAGGGGAAAGAATGGCTCTCTCTTCCTGTGGTGAGGAAGAGAGAAACAACATTGTTCTAAACTGACATTTTTCTATTTGTAATTAAGAAACAAACTAGCGACAGATTGAACAACTTTTTTCTGACTGGTTGCCAGTGAAATTCATCAAGCTGCTTTGCTCCTCAAGCTAGCGTAGCTCGCAAGAAATGCAACATTTTTCTAAGAAGAAAAAGACCAAAGGAAGCGTCCAGCAGCCCTGCTGTGGACGGCTCTGCTGAATGAAACCACAGGGCAAGAAAATAAATGTCATGTGATTGATATAAAATGCTACATATTCTTATCAGAATAGGGGATTGTGATGAAAGTGTATTATTTTGTAATAAAATCATAGTATATTTGAAATACAATTTTTTGCCAGAGATTGTGGATTTGAGAAGACACACCTGAACAAACCCTCTCTGTTCTATGGATTAATTAACCAGCAGCCAGAGTTAAACTGATCACATTCGTTAACAGCTGCTCTTCTGACTCTTGTGACACATTCAGGCTGTTTTAATGACTTGGACAACAAATCACAGAGGAATACTTTTACTTTATGATTTATTGGCTAAGGCGATCTATAAAAACCTTTTCTACCTTTTCCTCTTCCGAATCAGGCACCATTGCTACTTTACAGCCATGAAAGAACTTTGAGGTGACGCATTAATTGAATGTCCACATCATCTCAATGCCTTTATATTCTGCTTTTAGTTCAGTGAACTCATTGTTGGATTCAAGAGATCAGTCTGAGATGATTACTTGGATTGGCTGTGGTGTTGACATGATGCTCAATTGGTACTAATGGACCCAAAATGTGCCAGGAAAATATCCCCCACACCACTGAACCACCAGAACCCTGAACTGTTGATACAAAGCAGGATGGGTCCATGCTTTCATGTTGTTGATGCCAAATTCTGACCCCACCATCTGAAGGTCACAGCAGAAATCAAGACTCATCAGAACAGGCAACATTTTTCCAATCCTCTATCGTCCAATTTTGGTGAGCCTGTGTCAATTGTAGCCTCAGTTTTCTGTGTTCAGCTGACAGTAGTGACACCTGGTGTGGTCTTCTGCTGCTGTAGCCCATCCGCCTCAAGGGTCAATGTGCTGACTTCTGGCATCAACAAGGCATTTGCGCCCACAGAATTGCTACTCACTGGATATTTTCTCTTTTTCTAACCATTCTCTGTAAACACTAGAGATGGTTTTGTGTGAAAATCCCACTAGATCAGTAGTTTCTGAAATACTCAGATCAGCCCATCTGGCACCAACAACCACGCCACGTTCAAAGTCACTGAAGTCACCTTTCTTCCTCGTTCTGATGCTCAGTTTGAACTGCAGCAGATCATTTTGTCTACATGCCTAAATATATGGAGCTGCTGATTGGTTGATTCAACATTTGCATTAATGAGCCGTTGGGCACGTGTACTTAATAAAATGGCCAGTGAATGTACTTGATAACCAGCGAGCTTCTCTCCTCTGGTCTGTTTAAAAACTCCAGTCTCAGATCAACTCAGCCTTCCAGCACAGACAGCAGCAGAAACAGCAATATTGTACCTGTTGGGGAAAAACTAGATTAATTTGCTTTGCATTGTCCCCACATGATGACAATAATGCATCATGTGGGGTCTGTTGCGCCTCTTGAACCTTGATGGGACATTGCAGTAGACGCAGACTGGCACTCCAAAATGTTTATCAAAATTGAATCAGCATAGCTGCATTATTCCAATCAATGCTTACCAAGCGTTCTAGTGCTGCAAACTGCAGAACTGTTCTGTAAACTGGATGGATTGAAGAACTATTTGGACTAAAAGACTTAAAGTTCAACAGTTTGTCCCTAAGCAAGCAGAGTTCTTTTGAATGGATACATTTACAAATAAACTGTTTTAAAGCCAGACTGCTGCTATTGAAGTAATGCAGATAGTGTGTGTTTGCATACGAGTTTTCATATGCATTTTTTTTAACCAGGCAAAAAAAAAAAAAAACTCCTAATGAGATTTGATTGATCACACTCGAAGTTTTCCGTTTTTAAAAAATAAATAAATACAGTACACTCTTATGTGGACTCCAATTTGTAGTGGTGATTGTTTGTTAAACCAAACATCCAATAAAAAGTTCCATCAGCCACTATGAGGCACTGGGGTCAAGATTCTTGATGCAGGCAAAAGAAGTTTAAGGTCCAAACTTGTCTTGGTTGCTTTTCTTTTTTTTTTCTTGTTATGCAAGCAATTACAATTATCAAATTTTTCTTTGTTCTCATGACCTCTCTTGCACTGGTAAAAACCAAGACCCCAAACCCAAATGGCTGCTGGTCCTTTACCAGGCCCCTACATTTATAGAACATGGACTGACCCACCTCTTCCTGTCTGGCTTACAAAAATAAAAAATAAGAAAATGAAACAAAAAATAAAATCAATTATTAATCTGCAAATAAACTCTGTAAATAATGTAAAAAATAAAGGTTTAAGCATAAACTAACAAAATTCAAATGGATAAAGAATAAATAGCTCCAACACTAATGTTGCACATTTTTCCTCATAATGGCAATTTTTGGATGCAAGTGTTTTTTAGGCATTTTGAATCATTTTGTGTTTGCAATCAAACATCCAAATATGTTGGAAATAAATCTGAGTAAATGTGTCAGTATGAGAAGTGGCTCATTGATCTTGGTTATAAGACTAATTTAACTGAACCTGGATCCTGCTGGCGGTGTACGAACAATGAAGACATCTTTAGCTTTGAAACAAGTTTTATTTGAATCTTAAACAACCATCCGTCCTGCAGTATTGCCACAAAGAATCAGATGGTCTCCTCTATTCAAAGACACACACCTGCATGTGTGTGCCTGTTAGATTGAATAATCTAACAGGTTTCCACTCACCCTAACCTGTAGACACCAGGAGCTCTGAAGGGACATTGGGATGCATTAAGTATGAGTGTACAACAGCTCAGGCATTCAACAGAAAATCTGCCAAGAACAAACAAACACACACCCCCTCTAGGAGCGTCAAACACTATCTGAGGCCAAGCTTCTTCTTCTCTTTCTGTTTCTTGCGGACCACGTCGATGTTGCGATCTTTCCACATACTTTTTCTTAGCTTGATAGGACGACTCCCAACATACTTTCCTGGACAGACAGAGAAACAGATGATGTTTAATCACATTTCCATCCTGACCAGACCACAACTCCCAGTGAAACATCAGGGAACAACAAGCTGCTGACCGTTCATTTCTCTCATGGCTCTCACATAGTCATTCGGGTCTTTGAAGCTGACGAAGCCGTAGCCTTTTGTTTTTCCAGTCCGTTTATCACGGACCACCTGATGACAAGAATCCAGATTCATTTACAAGCAAAGAATACTTTTGGCATAAATTGGTGTCCACAGACATCCCATAGACACCCATCTGCTACACAAATGAGATTGTGACATGGCATAGGCAGAAGCTAAGACTCAACTCTCAACCTTCTGATTCCCAGACAAAAATCACATTTAAGACGAGTATTTTACTAAAGTGGCTGCAAATGCTAAAAAAAAAGAGAGAAAAAGTCCAACTTTAGCTTTGAGGAAGGATGGGTATCTGCTGAAGGCTCTGGCCAGGATGTCATCGTTGACCTCATTACCCAGATCTCCACAGAATATACGAAAATCATCTGCAACAGAACAGGGAGCCTAAGCACAAAAGATGCTGCACATTTTTGGTCCGCACACGCTTTAAACATGAAGTCCTTGTTCTCACCCGACTCCCACTCCAGCAGACTGGGGTCCTCCCAGGTTGATCCTGCAGCTATACGGATACACTTCTTCACCTTTTCGTTTTTCCCTTTCTTTTTGTCCTCAGTAACACTTTCCACAGGCTGAAAAAACAAACATTTCATTACTTGAAGAGCTGGACTGTCCAGTAGCTGCTGCAGTGATCAGACCTCATGACCACACAGGTAGACAAGAACATCGATCATCATGTCAACTCAGCTGAACTCCAGGGCAGAGAGCCTACCATCAGCTCGGTGTGAGGGACCTCACGCTCTGGCATGCTGGGGCCAATAACAGAGCTGCTCTCATCGCTGTCCTTCCTGTCCAGCAGACCCGCTGCCATGACCGCCGCCTGCTGCTTTGCCACTCGTGCTGCCAGTTCTTCCTGAAAGACCCACATATAAACACATCTGGTTAGAGCACAGGGTGACTGAAGCAGCAAGGCCACAGAGGTCTGGCGGAATCCACACCATCCTGGCTTGTCTCTGGGCCTGGACCTCAGCCTTCCTCTGGACCACCGCGGCTGGAGGGGCCGTGTAGACGGTGGGCGCCGCCTGGATGATGGACGGCGTTGGTTTGACCAGCGATGGGTTGACTGGTCTTGGAGGAGTGGGAGTCATGGGAACAGCCACCATCTCACCAACCTGACAACAACAAGTAGGAAGCCCAGAAACAGCATGTAGTCATCAGGCTCCAGCAGAGACAGCAGCAGCTGCTGCTGCTGCTGACAGAAGAAACATGTCTAGAGTTCTGACCCGGGGAGCAGCTGACAGGTGCTGAATGGGCGCAGCGCCCCCCTGTGGCAGAGATGGAGGCACCATCATGGGTGGAGGTGGAGGAGGGCGTGGCAGAGGTGGGGCTACTGGAGGACCTCGCATCACCGGCAGCCTCTGACCACCTGACCAGCACACAGCAGAGGACTATGGGTACAGCTTATCAATCACATCACAAACCTTCAGTAATTTGAGAATTCAATTAAAAGACACATATTATTGTTATTCCATGTCATTTTGATGATTACAGCAAATCGTAATTCAACATTCAGTTTGTCCATAGACAGGAACGTTACATAAAACCAATAAAAATAACTGGCTAGCTCAATGATGGTGAGGACTGCTGACTCCGCCCACAAGGAGGTACGAATGCTAAGCAACCTGCTCGTTAAAAAGTTACTGCAAATGAACAAAAAGTTATGTGGAAGAAAAATGTGTTAGAAAAAGGTTCACCAGTAACATAACCAAAGCACTGAGTGCATCATGAAGCAACCTCCAGCAGAGCGTAGGAGGAGGAGGGAAATTCACTAGGTGTGAATTCTAGCTGGAGGTAGAGGCAGCAAACAGACTGCAGCTGGGCCTTTGCTTTAGTTAGGCCACGGTCAGAAACAAGAACCCTGTGCTGAGAGAGAAGACCGCAGTCCAGCAGCTGGGCAGACCCACAGGATCGTCACCGGTGCACTCACCCTGACAGTATAGTATAGTGACTACTGGATAGTACATGTACGAAATGGTCACAATACTGGGCCACATACCGATTTATTATCGGTATGTGGTAGGAATATCGGGCTTAGGTCAGCCCAGTTCTGTCAATGTCTTATTCTGCTATGCCAATATTGTTATGGATCTATGTGGTTAAAAGCATTCTAAATGAGCTAAAGTTATAAATGTTAGAAACCTCATAACACCCCGTTTTCCAGTGCAAACACCAGGAAGGTTGTTTACTTTGTGTCCAGTCAGCATCCTGTCCAACCCACTGTCCCGGGCTCAATGGCCTCCAACATCCCTCCTAATGGACACAACCAGACCTGGACTGAGTGTTGTGGTAGTGAGCATACCTGGTCTCTGTAGAATATGTGGGACAAAGGCTGGTCTCATGATAGGAGGTGGAGGAGGACGAACTGGAGGAACTGGGACAGACACAAGTCACAGTGAGTGGAAGTGAAGAACGGCAGCATTACTGTTCAAAAAACACAGCATCTGATCCACACATCAGGTAAAACCTCTCATTTATAGCAAAATTTGTGATCATGACATACCTATGTTCAGAGGATAGTCAGATTACTGGTAGTTCACTATTATTATCATTACGCAGAGGGATTGATAGAAAACAAGGCCAGATGTGCTGGAATTATTTCTCCCACTGCTAACAATAGTTATGTCTGAAGAAAGTATGAAACTGATAACCTTGCAACAAATGGGCCATAAATGCAACAAATTTCTCTCAAATAGGTGAATGTTTTGGACATGAGAATACATTTATCCATCCGCTGCTGCTGTCATAAAGGGTGGAGGGGTGAGTGGAGGTGTAAAGAAATGTGGGAAATTTATGGGAAAATAATAATACAGGAGCATTCTGTGACCGAGGGCTGAAATACGGTTGTTTCCCAGGCAAAAACAGGAGACTTGACAGGTATGCTCCAAGGTGAGACGTTTCCTTTCAGTTCCTCAGAGGAGAAGAATTAATAACAATGGAAATGTTGAGTTTTTGCATCAATATGAAGTTTTGTTTTGAGCTAAAAACTAGCCTTGGCATTCACAAAGTCATAGCAACAAAACCTACAAGGAACCTCCAAAAGCACAACACCAGAGATTTGTGCCACTGGTAGCATATAAGCAGCAAAAACACTTAACTACTACAGTTTATACAAACCTATCAGTGTATCAGCTTTAATCATGTTAATGAACCATAGTTACAGCAAGACTACTACCTGGACCCACAAATGCTGGAGGAGGACCAAAACTAGCTGCTCTGGCCTCTAGCGTCTGCTGGACCTAGGAGAGGTAAGGAAGAGAGAGACTGGACTTTATTCAGCTGTTTGCATCATGACTAACAGTTCACACAAAGAGTCTGGAAATAAAAGAACTCACAGAAATGAAAGAGCTGTTTGTCATGAACCATGTTCACCACTAAATGTTGGAGTCTGACTTGGCCTGTCACCATAACTAATTTTGCTGGACCATTTAAAGAATATAATGGTGATGCCAAAAAAATTATGCAAAATCAAATTATAATGAACATTGAAAACATTTAAAACATCCAAAATCAATAAACAAAACAACAAATAAAATTAATTTTAAAGTTTTTGTATACAAAATTGTCTTTCAAAATGAGAGCTTTTTGAGACCAAAGAAGCAAACTGAAGACTTTTATCATTCAGGTTTTGGTAGAAAGAAAAGAAAAAAAAGAGACATGATAAATCATACAAATGGAAATGATTGAGTTTGTTTCAATTTATCATCCAATTCATTGATTTATTGGTTATTGTGACTGGCCTAATTCTAACAGAACCAAGATACAGACCTGTCTGTAAGTGTTGGTCCCTATGATGGGTCGCACCATTGGCACTGCCGGGACAGCCAAGGCTACAGGGATGGGCTCAATGAGAGGAGGACTTCCTGATACCGACCCACCAAGAACCTCCTGCTCAAAACTGAAAAAAGTTCGAGAGAAAGAGCCGCATCAGGATCGGACATTGGTGTTGTTGATAAAGAATATCTGAAAACTAATGTGATCAAATAATGAGTTGAGCATCAGATCAGGACACCACATAGGCAGGGTTATAGGGGCAGAGCTCATATCGTGGCAGTGGCACATCTGGTGTCGGCTGCAATGGCTGCCGGAAACTGATGCAGCTTAGTAGAGGCAGCTTTGGTGACAGATGCCAACGATGTTAATCATCCCTCTCCCATGACTTGACCTCACACAGTAGATGGGTGGATGATGTGTTTTAGGTGAGAGCAGGAGCCCTTCCAGGACTAGATCTCAATTTTTAGCACATCCTCCCTTCAGAATCTCGGTCTGCTGTTGAGGGGTTTCTAGAAGGGAATTTGATCTCTGCTGGTCGTTGCCCTAAAGTTTTTAACTTTCACAGCCACTCGCTGGTGATGCTGAAAAAGCTCTGCCCTGGTGGCAACACCATTCTGCTGGTAGTTCCCAGAGGGAGATGATCTGCGGAACATTTAGTCACCGACTCAGATCAGAATGTCGGAGAGGAAAAGCTGAGGTTACTTCTACTCACAGAGCCATCTCAGCCTCCATCTCCTTAAGCCGCTCCTCCCCTGACTTGCCCGCCATGCTGCAGAAACACAAACAACAATCAGTACCAAGAACCCAGAACCCGACCAGGACCCGACGAACCGATCCAGGGCTCCGTTCCTCCACACTGGAGTCTTTCTGGAGCTGCTGTACGTCATTGCAGCTTTCATTCCAAGAGAATGAAAGCTGCATAATCAAAACAAATATGCTTCACTCAGGGACACTGACAAATACATGGCAGGAAACTCCTACAACACCATTCATTAATATAGCAAGAACTCCTCTGGAGGACAAAATATACTAAATTCAGCTGGCTTCTTACTTTTAGTGAGAATCTTTCACCAAACGCTCGGCTAGCGTTTCTTCTCCGACGGCTGACCTTCTCTTCCGGTTAACCTGCCTTTTGTTTTATGATATAATGCCGCCGCCTAGCGGACTGGGGTCTGATTGCACAAACTACAACAACGTCATTTTAGCAGAGTAGTAAGTAAATTTTACTAGAATAACTTTTGGAAAAAAAATTCTTTGAGAAGTAGTTTTACTGTACCACACTTTTTACTTTTATTTGAGTAGTGTGGTATGAAATAATGCTACTCTTACTTGAGTACAATTCCTGGTGACTCTACACACACTTTCACCGAGTGAAACAGATAGTTTGAACCAAAACTACAGACATACAGCGACAGCTTATGTTAAAGTAAAATTTCCAATTCATACACCAGCTTCGTTGTTCTAATACAATTTCCGTTTTACACTACGTACTGTAAGTCTTAGTTTCATGTGTTTTTATTTTTAAAAAACTGATGTAAACATAATTTATTCTGCTTATTATGTTATTTATTTGGGATTTTTTTGTTTTTCATTTTAGACTTTGAAATACCAGAATTTGCAAAAAACTATATTTTTATCTGCCTGATTAAATTATGTTAAATTGTAAATCTGATTTTTTTGTTCAACTACTCAGTACGAGTCACTTCGTTACAGAATACTTTATTAGTCTTACTTGAGTCTTTTCTTGAATGGCTACTTGTCATTTTTACTTGAGTAAAAATGTATTGAAGTTGTGTTTCCTCACTTGAGTACAATATTTACTACTCAGCCCACCTTATGCAGAGAAAGACAGTTATCCTTCCTATTTAAAGACTAGGACAAAAACCGGATTTGTTTCTGTTCATTGGATCAGGTTCTGTTGTAAAGAAGGTTGCAGATGGGTGTGGTAGTGGTCCCAAGTATGGAGGTCTTAGTCTTTGTTTTTCCCGTCACACGTTCAAGTCCTGATCTGATGACCTTTGCTGCATGTTCAGCCCCTCTCGCTTTCCTGTCTGACAATTGCAAAATAAAGGCCACCAGAGCCACCAAAACCTTAAAAAAGTTCATAGGTCACCTTCCAGCTTATGTGTACTTCCTTCAGCAAAACATTTCAAAACTTGTAGGAAACCTGCAAAAAGGAACAATTCACACAACCATCTCTAGAGTTTACAGAGAATGGTAAACAAAAAAAAGAGAGAGAGAGAGAGAAAATATCCAATAACCCCTCATTACAACTGAGGTATGCAGAAGAGCATCTCTGAACGCACAACATGTTGACCCTTGAGGCGGATGGGCTACAGCAGCAGAAGACCACACCGGGTGCCACTACTGTCAGCTGAACACAGGAAACTGAGGCTACAATTGACACAGGCTCACCAAAATTGGACGATAGAGGATTGGAAAAATGTTGCCTGTTCTGATGAGTCTTGATTTCTGCTGTGACCTTCAGATGGCGGGGTCAGAATTTGGAGTCAACAACATGAAAGCATGGACCCATCCTGCTTTGTATCAACAGTTCAGGGTTCTGGTGGTTCAGTGGTGTGGGGGATATTTTCCTGGCACATTTTGGGTCCATTAGTACCAATTGAGCATCATGTCAACACCACAGCCAATCCAAGTAATCATCTCAGACTGATCTCTTGAATCCAACAATGAGTTCACTGAACTCCAGTGGCCTCCACAGTCACCAGATCTCAATCTAGTAGAGAATCTTTGGGATGTGGTGGAACAGAAGATTCACATCATAGATGTACAGCTGACAAATCTGCAGCAGCTGCTTGATGTTATCATGTCATTATGGACCAGAGTCTCTGAGGAATATTTGTAGTATTTTGTTGAATCTCTGCCAGGATTATGGCAATTCTGATGGCAAAAGGGGGTCCAACCCAGTAATAGCAATGTGTACCTAATCAAATGGTCAGTGAGTGTATTGTTCTGAAAGACTTCTGTACAAGTTCATTAAATCCTCTTAAGAGATAGAGATTTTGTGAGCATTTCTTAAAAATATAGTCTGTATTTTCAGTAAAGTTGAGCTGACAGTTCAGGAATGACCCTTAATATTTAAAATTTGCCAGTTTCAACAGGTTGGCCATTCAGTGAAAGTGGCCCCACTATAAGGTCTTGTTCAAATTATTTAATTAGAAAATGAAAAAAGTATGGTGTTTAATTAGAAAACGTTGCTTTTACGGTGTAATTAATGCCGGAATTAATAATTAACAATAAAGATTTTGCGGTATTCTAATTTAGTTCTGTATGTTAGTAGCGTTACCACCTCCATGCCACTAGGGGCAGGAGGAGACCCCAAAAGAAGCAATTAGGGAACAGATGCAGAAGTACACAGAAAGTTACACAATGTATGAAGAACTATGAGTTGTGCGGAAATAAATATAGAGGAGACGTTCAATCGCATACTGAGAGTGGAACTCCGTCCTAAAGATCAAGATGTCACAGATAAAAAAAAAAATAACTAAAAACGGGAGACCATCGCAGATAATATAGGAAATAGCGCCCCCTTCATTTCCGGAATGCACCCATCCCATTTCCAAATATGGTTTGGGTCTGTGATGCGGTCCGTCCCGCCCCGTTCTGTCTGCTGTGGCTAGGTGGACTTGGTCTGGCCCGCATTCAGACTGGGTTGATCCGGACAGGAAGACTCGTCATGCTCCGTACCGTGCTTTCCCGGGGTGTCACCAGCCTGATCCGACCCTCAGTCTGCTACTATGGGACCGCTGTTCCGGTTCCGAGCGCTCAGCCTGAGGTCCATTTCAACAAGGTAAAGTTAGTAGCTGCTGGACAGGAAAAAAACTACAAACTGCAAAAATACTGCGTGGCTCCGAAATGGACTGGACCACAGTATGGATAGTTTGTGCAGTGGAGTTCATGCTGCTGCAGGGAACGGCAATGTTTCCGATTTGACTTAAGAAAATATTTCTGTAGAAACATGTTGAGGGCAGATGAGAGGTCAGAAGTTCAAATTCCAACCCTGTTGTTTGTGGAAACGCCCAGTGCAGGTAAAGTTCGGTAGAGGAGCAGCGACTCTTCAGGAAGTGACCCGGTTTCCAGTTTATCATCTCTGGTCAGAGCAACGACTCTTCATTCTTCACACACTGACTGTGTGCGTCAGTATTGGCAAGAAGTAACAAACGTGGTTCCAAATATGAACAGTAGGAGTCGCAGTGGGAAAAACTTCGCTTGACCTATTTTTGTTTTTTAACGGAAAGTCGACACGAGTCAGGCTGATGCAGACATATTCCACCAAGATATATTGGTAGAATATGTTTGTTGGTAGAGATATTCTGTGGGTTAAGGTTGTTCTAAGTGCCACCAATCCGTCCTACATTGTGGTAATGCGCATGCGCAGATCGATGTTTCGACACTGCTTACTCAGGAGATTTCACATCCATACAGCCAACCTGTGGAAGTTTCGTTTCGTCTGTTTCATTTAGTAAAAAATGGCGGTAACTTTTATTTTATTTTCTACCTGACTTTCGTTAAGCTGCTGTCTTCATGTTTTAAGTTTACATGACGGGCAGCTTGGAAACATTTATAAATGGCTTTAGTTTGTTACTACTGTAAACAAGTAATTGCTTGGAGTCAAACCACTTTAATCAGGACAAAATACATTGTTTGTGGACCATGTTGTCCTTATACGTTAAAATATTACATATATGACTATTAAAAATTTCGTTTTAATTAAACTGTGTTTAATAGTACAGAAGAGGATTGGGGCCACTGGAAAAAATGTCAGAGAATTTTTTTTTCAGTGGCTCAGAAAAGGTTAAAAAAAATAAAAAAAAATAAATCAGTAGCCCAGAAAAAAAAGTCAGAATTCTGACTGATGGGTGCCAGCAGCAACCACACAGAGAGTTGTGGCAGACAGCCAATGTTCTGGAGAAAATGTCTGATTTAGCCACTTTTTAAATCAGAAAATCAGAAAATGTCTGATTTTAAAAAGTTGCTTAAATCAGACATTTAAAAAGTATATGTATCTGTATATACATACAGATACATATACTTTTTACTTATATATATATATATATCTATCTATATATATACACTCCTGATCAAAATCTTAAGACCAGTCAAAAAATTGCAAGAATTTGCATTTTGCACTATTGAATCTTAAGAAGATTCTAAGTAGAGCTTCACAATGTTAAAAGAAAATATTAGTGCAAGAGACAAAAACATTTGAGCGGGGAATTTTCTGAAAACTGCATTTACACTCAAACATGATTTTTTCAGCTGATCAAAAGTTTAAGACCATAGTCTTTAAAAGCCAAAAGCTGTGCAAAAATCTGGATTCCATGTCATGTTCTATGAAGTCTTTACACTGTCAAGACCTCCAGATGGCAAAAGCAAAAAAGTTCACTGACTTTGAACGTGGCAGGATTGTTGAGCTGCATAAGCAAGGCCTCTCACAACGTGCCATTGCTGCTGAGGTTGGACGCAGTAAGACAGTCATTTTGCATTTTTTAAATGATCCTGAGGGTTATGGAACAAAAAAGTCAAGCGGTAGACCCAAAAAAATTTCACCAGCTCTGAACCGCAGGATCCGATTGGCTGTCCGTCAAGACAAGGGACGATCCTCTACCCAAATTAAAGCCATTACTGATGCCGACTGCAGCCCGATAACCATCAGACGGCATCTGCAAGGGAAGGGCTTCAGAAACAAAAACGTCTTCAAAGGCCATGTCTTGTTCAACGCCACAGAATTGCCCGTTTGGACTTTGCAAGGGTGCACCAAACATGGGACATTGAAAGGAAGAAGTCTTCTCTGATGAGAAAAAGTTTTGGCTTGATGATCCTGATGGCTTCCAACGTTACTGGCATGACAGGGAGATCCCACCTGAGATGTTTTCTACACGGCACAGTGGTGGGGGCGCCATCATGATTTGGGGTGCGTTTTCCTTCAATAGAACAATGGAGCTTCAGGTTGTGCAGGGGCGTCAAACAGCAGCTGGCTATGTGGAGATGTTGCAGCGGGCATCCCTCATGACTGAGGGCCCTCGTCTGTGTGGTAATGATTGGGTTTTTCAACAGGACAACGCTGCAGTTCACAACGCCCGCCTGACAAAGCAGTTCTTCCAAGAGAATAACATCTCTCTTTTGGACCATCCTGCATGTTCCCCGGATCTAAACCCAATTGAGAACATTTGGGGATGGATGGCAAGGGAAGTTTACAAAAATGGACATCAGTTCCAGACAGTGGATGCCCTTCGTGAAGCCATCTTCAACACTTGGAGCAATGTTCCCACTAGCCTCCTGGAAACACTGGCATCAAGCATGCCTAAACGATTGTTTGACGTCATCAACAAGAATGGTGGAGCTACTCATTACTGAGTCCTTTTTTTGGCACTTTGATTTCTGTTTTGGGGGGTTTTGGAGGTTTTTTGAGCTATGGTCTTAAACTTTTGATCAGCTGAAAAAATCATGTTTGAGTATAAATGCAGTTTTCAATTAATTCCCCGCTCAAATGTTTTTGTCTCTTATGCTGATTTCTTCTTTTAACATTGTGAAGCTCTACTTAGAACCTTCTTAAGATCCAATAATGCTAAATGCAAATTCTTGCAATTTTTTGACTGGTCTTAAGATTTTGATCAGGAGTGTATATATCTGTTCACAGAGCAAGCTGCATCTGTCACAAAAGAGGAACAAAAAAATCACTTTTCAAATGGGAAGTATTCAAATCATTTTTATTTCACTCTACTGAACATGTGTGATTACATCAAATTTTGCTCTATATCCAGCAAGTAATAACAAAACACATTTGAACAGTTAAATGTCCAGCAATGACTTCAGAATGCAAAATGTGCAGTACCTTTACTGCACATTTAAAATTCATTTTTTATCTTGTTTATTTATTTATTTTTGTTTTGTTGTTGTTGTACTTTTGAGCAGCATGAATCCCTAAACAGTGACCAGTTCCGCCATTTTAGATGTCAAAGTTATGACACAGGGGTGTACTGTCCCAATGCTCAAATTTTTGCATGCTTGTAATCTGCTCACTTCGACTGAGTCAACACTTCATAGAGGAGCTTAGTGTGCATTTTGAGTATTAGGACTGGACTGTAGAACTATTTCAGCCATGTGGGTTTACGGCAGGCCAGGTGCTGGGGGCTGGGCAGTGAAACAGATGGGCGCCTCTGTCCAAATCTCTATTTCTTAGACAAATCTACACTATGCTCATCAAGGTAGAAAACATTGACCAACAGGATATGTAATCAAGTATGTTTTATGGAAGATGTGAAAGCTTTAATTTTCTTTTTTTTTGTGAACTATTTAGTCACTTTGTAGTTTTTGAAATATCAGAGTATTAAGTATTAAGTTGAACTCTCTAAATGGTGTATTGTGTTTCAGCTGTTTATTAATAACGAATGGCAGGAAGCTGTGAGTGGGAAAACGTTTCCAACGATCAATCCATCCACTGGAGAAATCATCTGCCAGGTTGCAGAGGCTGATAAGGTAAATGACAGGAAGAAGATGCACTTTGTGTGAGTTACAATGTTTTATTTTCATTTGTTCTCCTTTTTAATTAGATATTGTTAAAAATACAGAAAATATTAAGTCAGCCAGAATGAGGGATGAGGAGCTTATTGCACAGCGGCTGCTTCTCTCATGAGTCAGTTGAGGTAGTTCAGGATCAAGGTCCCCCGTTTGAAGGTTTTCCAAGCATGTCCAATCGGGACAGGACCCAGAACTTGCTGAACAAACCATTTATCCTGAAAGCCTCAGATCGGCTCAGCGACTCGGTTTCAGATCAGGGGAGGGCCTTTACAGAAAGTTTTCTGGGGTTCTTGTAATCCTGCTGTGTTTCCTGTCAGAAAGCAGAAAATGTCACTGCACAACCAGTTTTTTGTCTTCTGTTTTTTTATTGTTAAACAGTACCTCAAGCCTTGTGGTAAAAATGAACTGCTTCTCCTTTTTCAGGCAGATGTAGATAAGGCAGTGAAGGCTGCACGTAACGCCTTTAGGCTGGGCTCACCTTGGCGCCGTATGGATGCATCTGATCGGGGCAGGCTTCTTTACAAATTAGCCGACGCTATTGAAAGAGATTCTGCCTACCTCGCTGTGAGTTCATATTTACAACAGTTAAACAGCTTTTGAACAAATGTCTGGCGATGTTCTTACTTCTAGTAGTCTAGTACAGTTATATTTGTTTTCATGAATTTAGATTTTGAATATGTATGAAATTGGCATAAGGGTCTACAGCAAACAGCCTCAGTCTCATAGTTTGAAGTTGTTGTTCTGTTAGTATAGAAATAATCAGATTAAAGTTTCTCTGGATGGAATCTGTTTTTGCTAAGACTAAAGTCATAAATCCTAAAATCACAATGACAATACAGAGTGAAGCCACCGTCAGATCAGTTAGCAGCCTCTCTTTTTAGTTTTACCAAATTAGTTTTAAGAAAATGTAATCTTGTGACTTCTGAAAAATATCCTCTCTAAACTTTCTAATGAAGGTGTTTTAAGCAGAATGCAGTTTAGTGCTGGATTTTAATTGTTGGTAAATAGTTTTGATTTTTTTTTTCGCACTTGGACAAGAATTGGGTTCAATACTAAAATATCCACCATTTGCATTTGAAAGTGGTTCCCTTTTCATTCTAAGAAAATGAGAGAAACATATTATCAGTATCATGTTCAGAAACTGACATTTTTGCCAACCAGTTACTTAAATGATAATAAAGCTTTTAGATAGTGAGCTTCTACTTGACAAAAAGCCACCTTTGTATGTGAAACTATGTTCTTCCGTCAGGAACTGGAGACCTTGGACAACGGGAAGCCGTATGTCATCGCCTATATGGCTGATTTACCCTTGGTTGTGAAATGTCTCCGGTAAGAAGCCCCCAAACAATGTTTTTATGAAAGGTTTTTATTTATTTGTTTTCAAGACTGGTCAATTTAAAGCTGGTTTGGTTTCATTGTAATTGTAACATCAGAGCTTCTGCCTCACAGAGCAGCTTTCCCCTGAAGCAGCTCCTTCAGACTAGTCAGGTGTGTAATAGAAAATTTCATGTTAACCTTACTTAACTTTCTTTCTTTATTTCATTTTAACTTTACCCAAGTTTGGGTTCATAGTTTTATGGGGTTTTTTTTCATGGATACTATGTAAGTGTGAGACCCTGCAACTATGAGTTACTGATAAAGAAGGACTAGAAGTTTCTGTTGGGATCCTCGTCAGCTTGAAAAAGAATGAGAAAAGTTTAACTATAAGTATTTTTAGTTCAACTTTTCAAATGAACCTCCAATGAGGTGAGTGACAGCTGCATCAGGACAAAAACTCGTGGAGGTTTTGCTGTAACTATATAATCATGTGTTGTGTTGTTCAGGGCTCGTCTGCTGACTGTTCGGTCAGACGGGTCTTTGAACACTTTTTTTGCCTTTAAATAAAGAAACACAAATATTGATCTTTCTCTAATTATTGAAACAGACTCTCATTCTCTGATAACAGAATTTCCACAGCAGTCTCCTAGTGGAATGGTGTGTCTGCTGATCTCATGCCAGCTACTTTTCAGTGAAAAACGGATACGGTGGTTAGAGGATTAACAGAAGAGCCGTGTGATGACTGCCTGTTTGAAGCCCAGGTTTCAGAAAGAGCAGGAGCTTTTAAAGAGATAGAGGCCCAAATTCAAGGTGTTAAATTACAAAGTAAAATTTCTTCTATGTTAGAGTTGATATATACAGCATTTCTTTTAACAAGTGAAGCTAACATAGTTACTTGGTAATGCCATTTTATAGCATAATGTGCCAGGAAAACACATACTGGTAATACTGCACCGTTAAGTCTTCTTTTCTTTGTAAAAAGAAAATCCACTTATGATTTCACTGAGAAGGCAAAGTTGGGCACAGATGTCTGTTCCATTTAGGCCTTAGACTTTTTTGGTCAAAAGTCTGGCAGACAAAGCATGTAGACAGTCATCAAATAAAATCTCTGCTGAAGTTTGGACATGTCTGTTTGAGAAAAATCTATTTGTAACATCCTTGTTCAGTGTAGTGCGTTCTATGAAAGATTTTATAGTATTTCATTGATAGCAGAAATATGATTATCTACCTCCAGAGAAACTTTTTATCCCAAACTACAAAATGGCTGAATGGGTGTGAAGATTTCGTAGTACATAAGCTGAAAGACATTTTGAGTGTTTGTGCAAATTTTACTTCCAGAGCTGACATCTGATTAAAATAAAAACAAAAAACCCCTGATGAAATCTGTGTTGCACAATATGGTAGATACTGCAATGGAGTATTTGCTGTGTTTAGGTACTATGCAGGTTGGGCAGACAAATGGGAGGGGAAGACCATCCCTGTTGATGGCGATTACTTCACCTATACCAGACATGAACCTGTTGGAGTCTGTGGACAGATAATACCTGTATGTATGTTTTATATGTATTATTTATTTCTGTGTATTTAAAACTAGGGATGCACCGATATGAAAATTTGGGCCGATATTAATGTTATCGCTTATCACGTATATTTTGACACCTTGAAAAATCAAGTGGAAAGGACACTACTTATGTTTGACACTAAGGCCTCTATTGAAAATTAATCAAAGAGGAAAAATGGTGAAGAAAGAAGGGGCTTAAAATGGCCTAAGACCCAGAATCTTTTCTGTGGCAGCCACTTTGAGGACTGCAGCCTCTGTGCACGGCACACCTGTTCTAACGACCAAATGGTGTGGGTGTCTTTGGGCACGACATATTCGGAGGAAGAATGTTTCAATATCCTATAAATACCATGTCAAAAATTGAGTTTATATGATGGAGCAAGACAATGTGTGTCGTTTTACAGCAGATGGAACTGGATAACTTCTTATGACCGATATACGAATGTACAGATAAATTTTCCAGGAGATTCTTGATAAGACTCGGGTAAAAACATGTTCAAAATGCATCGTCAAGAAAACTGCAATGGTTTCAGAGAAAAGAATGGCAAAGTAAAGTACCTGACTTGTATCCTAACAAAAAACTGAAGATCCCAGTACATAGAATAAACCCTGAGAACTTTGAAGATGTTTGACGTGAAAGAGTCTATCAAAATCATCTCTGAACAATGTATGTGACCAGTTTCTTTAGAGATTCACTGAAATTGTCAATACCGAGTCTTTTCCAATCATTTAATTCATTTGTATTTATTCCTTGCTCATTTTTAACCCATAACTAAATGAACTGTTGACAGAAATGTACTTGAAGGGTAAAATGTTGACATGTGAATTCTTCCTTTAATATACATCTGATACAATGATGTCCTGTAGCTTGTTTGTTTTATTTTCTGCTCTGTACCTACTTAACATCTTTCTGAAATAAACATCTAATCCTTTATTTTCCTCTTGCATACTAAAAAGAGATTCAGGTGCATAGCGGGTGATTTTAATTGAGTCATTTTCCAGTTGAGATGACATTTTGTTTCATTGAGCTGTGAAGGTACCAATAAAAATGTCAGTAAGGTAACTTGGTGCTGTCTGCAAAGACTCTTCTGATTGTATTTTTCTACTTTGCTGCAGTGGAACTTCCCTCTGGTGATGCAGGCCTGGAAACTTGGGCCAGCCTTAGCAACTGGTAATACTGTTGTGATGAAAGTAGCTGAGCAAACACCACTCACAGCACTCTATGTGGCCAGTCTTATTAAAGAGGTATTTCACTTTTTATTGTTTTACAGTCACCTTTACCTGAACACCACCTAAAGACTAAGGCTGCACAACATTGTGAATGGTGTCATTGCAATATTAATATCACAAAGGACTGTTTGGAGTGCAATATTTGTTGGCTAATATATTCCACGAGTTTGAAACATGCATTTTCAATACTAATGTAATATTTAGGCAGTTAGCCAGAGTTACACCATGTAGAAATGACATTGCTCAAAACGCTAAAAGTTACTGAGTTTAGGAAGCACAAATTAGGAGGGGAAAGAACAACGGAACGAGGCATCTCACGCAGACCTATTAAAGACTAAGACTTTTTTTTCTCTTCTGTGCTGAAAATAAAAATGCAAATGGTCATTTAGATTTGTGTTGAACCTTTGTGTTAAGGTTGGATTTCCTGAAGGCGTGGTCAATATCTTGCCTGGAATGGGACCAACAGCTGGTGCAGCCATTGCCAACCACATGGATGTTGACAAGGTGGCCTTTACTGGGTCCACAGAGGTACATTTGTCAGAAGGTTCTGTTCACATCTGGATCTAAGAAAAATCCGGTCCTGTCCTCCGGTGGACAGCCTTAGGTAGAAAAGTTCACGTCTGGCAGCCGTCTTGAGCAATTCTGTTTACAGACAGACTTTCCTCAATGAGGAGACCTCCACATAATGCTGCTGCTGGTGCATGGGCTAAATCTTCATTTACTCGCCATGCCTTGCTTCTGTATTTATACTTTTTTGTAGATTATTTTGTTTCTTCTACTTAAGCTTTGCCATAGAATTACACCAAAGGATTAGGTGACGCCAGCCCAGCACATCTAGGCTTTCTTTGTAGTGTCTGGCCTAATTAACCTACAGCATTGAAGATTTTCATTGGTGGCACGATAAAGCTGATTGAGTTAGTAGATCAACTCGGGTTTGCTGACAGTTTATATATTAGTAAAACTGGGAAGTTGAAACAAGTATATGCAATCAGAAATCAGGACACAATGCTGGGGTAAACAAATTAAGTGGAAATGTTATGCTTTTAAATCCTTTCTTTTCAGATTTTATGTAAATCATTCACTCATAATAATAATAATAATGGAGGAAGTGGGTTGCCTGGTTTTATCTCCACAGACCCTTGTTTACCCCATGTTCTGAGATGTTTTAGATAATTTAGCTTTGCTGCGTTTTCTTTTGATTTTTATGCAAATTAGACGCTTCATGCCCATTCAACCATTTTGTAGTTTGGGATAAAAAGTTTCTCTGGAGGTAGATAATCAAATTTCTGCTATCAAAGCTTATTAAAGATGTCAATAACCATCCACCATCCATACATGTTGAAGGCAGAGTGTGACTTAGAGCAACAGAATAAAGACGACGAACCTGCAGGAGGCAGCTAAAGCTAGCACACAGTGCTGTGAGAAGGTTCAATGCTGCTATCAAACCAATGGCCAGTATGTCATTAACAACACACAAAATTAATGTCTAAAGTAATCTTTGTCATTTTAGCATTAAGAGTTTACTGCTTTGCTATGTATGTGGTTTCAGTAGACAGGAGGAACTGATGCCTCAATTAGACAAAGTATTTTGTGTAATTCTTCTTGATATTGGCGTAGGTTGCCAAACACTTGCCCCTACGTGCTAAAACACCCAGACTTTCTTGGACATTTCCAAGAAAAATCTATTTTAACCAGACACTTTGAAGAGGTGTCTTGGAATCCTGTTGTTTAATACACCCTGGAACCAAACAGTTTGACTTGGCTTATGCATAGCTAAAGTTGGACTATAAAATCACTGCAAAGGAAAACATGGCAGATTCACAAAACTGATTAGATGGAAGTCAATTACCTTGTTTAGCAAATCCACAGCAAATGTGGTGACATTATAGACTTAGACTTCCTTTATTGTCATTGTACAAAAAAAAACTCAAGGTGAATCTTGACAACGAAATGTCGTTACTTGGCTACCAGTGTAGCAGAGCTAAAACCTTATACTACCCAATAAATAAATAAATACAATACAAGTGCCATAGAATACACAGGTTCAGTGTTGTGAAAAAAACTAACTAAAGTGCATGTATCGACCATGTCCATGGGGGGTGATTTGGTTTGTGAGTGTGTGGAGGGTGTTATGTGGCGTTAAGCAGTCTGATGGCCCGGGGAAGAAACTGTTCAGTAGTCTGGTTGTTCTGCACAAGATGCTGCGGAACCTTCTTCCAGACGCCAGGGGGGAAAACAGTCCATGGTTGGGGTGGGTGGAATCGGAGAGGATCTGGTGAGCGCGAGATAGGCAGCGCCTCTCTGCGATGTCCTTGATGCAGGGAGCAGAGCCCCCGTGATCTTCTCCCCTGTCCTCACCACCCTCTGTAGAGACTTCCAGTCAGAGGCCCTGCAGCTCCCAGACCAGATGGAGATGTAGCTGGTCAGTTGGCTCTCGATGGTCCCTCTGTAGAAGGTCTGAAGGATGGGGGGCGGGAGGGATGCTCTCTTCATCCGACGCAGGAAGTGCATGCGCTGCTGGTCCTTCTTCACCAGTGAGGAGATGTGGGGAGACCAGCTGAGGTTGTTGTTGATGTGCACCCCCAGGAACTTGGTGCTGCTGACGACCTCCACAGCTGAGTCGTTGATGAGGAGTGGTGTGTGGGTGGGTCTGGATTTCCTGAAGTCTACGATGATCTCCTTGGTCTTGTTGACATTCAGGATCAGGTTGTTTCCTCTGCACCAGTCCACCAGATGCCGCACCTCCTCCCTATAGGCCGTCTCGTTGTTGTCCCGGATGAGGCCCACCACTGTGGTGTCGTCCGCGTACTTCAGGATGCGTACTGAAGTGTGGACGGCAGTCGTGGGTCATCAGGGTGAACAGCAGGGGGCTCAGGACACAGCCCTGAGGGGTGCCGGTGTTCAGGGTGATGACATCGGAGGTGTTGTTTCTCCATTCTGACAGCCTGGGTTCTGTCAGTGAGGAAGTCCAGTAGCCAGTTGCAGAGGGGGGTGTTAATTCCTAAGGGGCCCAGTTTGCCCACCAGGTCTTGGGGGATGATGGTGTTGAACGCTGAGCTGAAGTCCAGGAACAGCATCCGCACGTGGGTGTTCTCCTCCAGATGCTCCAGGCTCAGGTGGAGAGCAGTGGAGACTGCATCCTCAGCACTGCGCTTGGACTGGTATGCAAACTGGAAAGGGTCGTGTGATGGGGGGAGCGTGGAGATGATGTGGTCCTTAACAAGTCTTTCCAAGCACTTCATGATGGTGGATGTCAGTGCGACGGGGTGGAAGTCATTAAGGCATGTGATGGTGGTTGACTTCGGGACCGGAACGACAGTGGCAGACTTGAAGCACCGTGGGACGACAGCCTGGTCCAGGGACGTGTTGAAGATGTCGGTGAGCACGTGGGCCAGCTGGTCCGAGCATTCCTTGATTAGCAGACCTGGAATGTTGTCCGGACCTGCAGCTTTCCGCGCGTTGACCTTCCTCAGAACCTTCCGCACTGCTGATGTTTCTAGTCTGAGCGCCTGTTCATCGGGGAGTGGCGTCGCTTTCCTCACAGGGTTATTGTTCAGCTCCTCAAATCTTCCGAAGAAGTTGTTGAGCTCGTTGAGGAAGCCAGTGTCGGTCTGGCAGGATGGAGGTGTGGGTTTGTAGTCTGTGATAGACTGGATGCCCTGCCACAGTTTCCTGGTGTTGTTGGAGTCCTGGAAGAGACCCTGGATTTTCCGGCTGTGGGCTCGCTTAGCGTCTCTGATGGTCCGGTTCAGGTTGACCCTCGCAGACCTGAGAGCCGCAGCATCACCAGATCTGAAAGCAGCATTGCGTTCTCTCAGCTTCGTTCCCACTCCTTGGTCATCCAAGGTTTCTGGTTTGCCCGAGTGACTATTGTTTTTGTTGCTGTCTCTTTTTTCATGCACCAACTGATATAGTCGGATACAGATGCAGCGTACTCCTCCACGTTGGTGCGCTGGTTGTCTGTTGCTGCTTCCTTGAAGATGCCCCATTCAGTGCACTCAAAACAGTCCTGCAGTGCAGACATGGCGCCCTCAGGCCATACTCTCACCTTCTTCACTGCAGGTCTCTCTCTGATGGTATGCAGGAATTAGCATGACAGAGAGATGGTCTGAGGAGCCCAGGTGGGGGCGGGGTGCTGCTCTGTAGGCCTTCTTTATGTTGGTGTAGACAAGGTCCAGAGTGTTCTCCCCTCTAGTAGCAAAGTCCACATGTTGGTGAAAGTTTGGAAGCACGGTCTTCATGTTGGCCTGGTTGAAGTCGCCAGCAACAATAAAAACACCTTCCGGTTGTGTGGCTTGCATGTCCGTGATGTTGTTGTAGAGAACACTGAGGCTTGCTTCGTGTTGGCGCTGGGTGGGATGTAAACAGCAACAATGGTGACGCTGGTGAATTCACGTGGCAGATAAAAGGGTCGACATCTCACAGTCAGGAGTTCAATGTCTATAGAGCAGAGACTGGAGACCCTGGAAGCGTTGTTACACCAGCTGTTCTTCGTGTAGATGGAAACGCCACCCCCTCGGGTTTTACCTGTGAGAGCACCGCTTCTGTCGGCTCTGAATGCTGTTAGCCCGTCCAGGCTAACTGCGCTATCTGGGACCGATGCACTGAGCCATGTTTCAGTGAGGACAATGGCACAGCAGTTTCTTGTTTCCAGCTTTGAGTGTAGCTCCAGCTTGAGATAGTCCATTTTGTTTTCCAGGGAGCGTACGTTGGTGAGCAGCAGTGAAGGAAGCGGCAATCTGTACGGGTTAGCTTTTAGCTTAGCTGTTAGTAAAACATAATAGATGGCAAGTGAATTTTTCATGATATGTCCCCTTTAAATGCTTTATAAATCACCTCTTCAATATTGAAAGCACGGATTGATCCAACACTGACTAGTGTGTGTTTAGATAAATCCGTATGCTGGTGTCTTTATTTGGATAAGAGATTTCACCCTAAACTAGTCACACAGCTGGTCCCAATGGCCAAAGATGAAATGACTCAATGGGTGGAGTTCTATTTATCTTTCACTTTCTACAAAATCACAGTGAATGGGTCATAGGTGAGTTGTACTTTCATATTTTCAGCATGTATTTGAACACACACATGGACATCCATGCAGAGGCAGAGTAGTGAGAAAGCCCATAAAACAGGGATCTGTGAAGCTTGAATTCATTAGGGAACCTGAGAATATTAATGCCACCGATTTTCAGTGAAAGTATTTGAGGCTAGTCTTATACTGCCTCCAAACAAGAATCAACTTGAATCAGTTTCTGTAGGCTATTTAAATTCAGACAGGAGATGAAGAGGAGAGGATCAGCAGCAACTTCAGGCTGAAGGGTTCTGAAGGGTTCATCAGTTAAGATTTATTTTGGTGTAGGGTAAAGGAGAAGGGTTTTAATAGGTTCACATGTTGCAGGTTAATTTTTGTTTTTCATTTAATGAATTTTTGCATAATCTTGTTTCATCTTCAAATTGATTTTTCTGTCAGGTGGGTCATCTGATCCAACAGGCAGCAGGCAGCAGTAACTTGAAGAAAGTTACATTGGAACTGGGAGGAAAGAGTCCAAATATCATTCTGTCTGATGCCAACTGTATGTATTCATTTTACTCCGTTGTACTTAAGTTGTTAGTGTGTTCACACAATTACCTTTTTAAACCACTCTGTGCTAAATTCAAACATATTCACTGTTTTGTTTTTTGCATAATATTTTTTCTGACAGCCTGTCATGATCACATTAAAGTTGCTGCCTAATCTTTTTGAATGATTTTTTAGTGGAAAATGCTGTGGAGCAGTCCCACGTTGGCCTGTTTTTCAATCAAGGCCAGTGTTGCTGTGCTGGCTCTCGAGTTTTCGTCCAATCAGATGTCTACGATGAGTTTGTGGAGCGCAGTGTGGCACGTGCTGAAAAGAGAGTGGTGGGAGACCCGTTTGACTTCAAGACTGAGCAGGGCCCTCAGGTAACACAAACTCTTAGTAAAATTCAGTATATTTATATTGCCACATTTCACAACAAAAGTCATTTCAGTTCAGTCACACATCAGCTAAGTAACATTAAGTAACTGAGCTTAATGTTGCTCAGTGATTTAAACTTATTTTATATTCAAATTAGTTTAAACATTTGGTGTCTAATGAAACACAGGAGATTGCATCAAGTCACTGACTTGCAGAGTATCAATGCTGCTAAATTTGATTTGATTTAATGGTTTCAGCATGGATAAATTAAAAGATTTGAAGTTGTTTAAAATTTTAATTTCAGATTTTTTTGTACTATAGCTAAAATCTGATGCTGTGAGTTTAATCTTTTTCAGTTTGGGCTCTATTTGTTCACATTCAGTAAACCACAATTATCACTGATTGCTTTTTAGACTGGCCAATTAAACTGCTCCCCCTCTCCTAAATTTGACTAAATTTATGTTGAAATGCTGTTAGAGGTGCTGATGATCATAGCAGCCAGAGGGATTCCCAAGCCAAATTCTGCTCAAGGCTTGATGCAGCCGTGGACCGGCCCTGTATGATTAATTAAATCTGCTGCAGACATGCGCAACAAACAGGAGATTTAATTCAATGCTGCGAATGTGCCTTTAGTAACTCTTCCACTTTTTGTCTATTGAGTTTTTAATGATCGCCACAGAAACTGTTTTGGTTGCTCAAGTTTGTTGGACGAGATTTTTCGATCTGTTCACTCAGGCTGACTTAAGGAGACAAAGCATTTGATATGGTTTGATGCATTGTGTAACTGGAAATAAAAAAAAAACAGAGTGATGCAAGCGCAAAAGCTCCTCCACTCTCTGAAGTGCTCATGATGAGGTTGATGTAAATATCCATACAGGTCATCATGTGTCCAGTTGAAGTGAAAGGAGGCGCGTGCCAAGGTAAACTTCAGACAGCGTGAGAGGCAACGCTCAGAGGCGTCAGCGATGTGATTTGTCTGCACTCCCAGCTTGTGGCCGGTTACTAAACCCATCTTTCATTAAACCCAACTTTAATGAGTCGTAAGCCAGCCACCGGAGTCCGGACATAAAGACAGTTGAGAGCACGGAAGTTCAGCGATTAAAGAGATACAGGAAAGACCTATTAAATTTGCTTAGTCATCAAACTGCAATAAACTGACAGTCAGTTGACGCATACCTGCCGATCCATGCAGATGTATGTCACAGGAGGAGGAGAGCAGCGCAGTGGCGTTCACCCTGCTAAAATCACCCTAATGGTGCATCCAACACTTCAAGTTCAACGCATGTGCACTTTGAATGCAGACACTTGACACTTTGCCTTACCCTAACCCTACACCTAGTGTTTCGCTGGTCTGGTTTACATTCAGAGTCTATGTGGAGGCACGTCGGATGTGTTAAAATTGCTCCAGCCGTCATTTTCCACTGCTGGTGTTCTAACACCTGTTTATTTGTCGGATGCACTTGACACGCCAAACGCTTCAAATCACACCATGGCGGGCCCTCGACACCTCCACTAGACTTTGAAAGTAAACCAGGCCCACCTGACGCTCAAAGGATGCGTTTAGTGTGAACTAAACACACCCTTTGGTCGAGCCATGTCATGGGAGCACGAGGAGGACGTGTCAAATTGAATGCAGTGGCTTACCACTCCCACTTTATCCCATAAATAAATGTATCTTTCTATACTACTAACTTTTTTTCTGACCTTGTTATCTAGTTCTTGCACAGGTAGAAAGAGGCAGCCAAAACCCCAATACCTCCTCCGAGAACTGCTTCTCTTTTCATTGGCTGACTGAAAACACAACAACAACCAATAAAAACAGAACTGCAACACAAGAAGTACAGCAGGAGAGAGAATAGAATCTAGCTGATTGGTGTGGCAGGGTGTGTCTGTTTAAGAAGGCCCGAAGATTATCATTGTTAGGTTATCTAGTTCCTGCAACCAACTGTCAGTCCTGCTGTCCACTTTTACAAAAATCAGCTGGATGCCATTTTGCATGTATATTTTATATGTTGCTTTTGAGTGTTGCCCGTATAGACAGACATTTCAGTAAGCTAAAAATTTAAGCAACCTACTTGCATATTGTATGCAGATTGTTGCATGTAAAATTTATGAGCAGTAAATATTGTGCTAGTTATCAGTGATGAACCAAAGAAAGCAAGTTGTAAAAATTGAGAGTTAAGCCCTGATAGAGGATAAGCAACAAACAAGTTGCAACCACAATGAGGAAAACTAGGGATTCAATGTTAAATCTGAACTGTAGCTATGAAGATGGTCAGAAGCTGTAGAGAAGTGTGTTAAACTGAGACTCTTTCTTGCTCTGGAACTAGAACTGTCATTGTTTAACCAGATTCCTAGAAAAGAGCTGCTGCATCCAAAGTGGGATGGATGCCGTCTGTCCGGGACAGACCGGATTTTCCCCAAAAGCATTCAGGGCCTTTTGAAGTTCATTGACTTTAGTATAACCTTGACATGCTGTTCCTTCTGTGATGTTTCCAGGTAGATCAGGAGCAGTTCAACAAGATTCTGGGCTACATCAGCAGTGGGAAGAGAGAAGGTGCCAAGCTGATGTGTGGAGGAGGAGTGGCAGCAGACAGAGGTTACTTCATCCAGCCTACAGTGTTTGGAGATGTCCAGGACAACATGATCATTGCCAGGGAGGAGGTAGAGTGGTGTGGATGGCTGGCTAATCGGTGTACTATGCTTTGGGTTTCTCCTCCAGGCTTGTATGTTTCCTGAGATCTCCATGCTCTGCTTTGACATGGATGAAGAGATGCAGGCAAACGGTTGTATTTTCAAGTCCTGTCACGAGTGGTGAAAGTTTTACTCCACCCTCTACCCTCTTTCATCAGTTCTGCCTCCTTTAAAAGGAGGAGCATTTATAGAGTTATTTCAAACATGATAGAAGTATAAGTTAACACACATGAACAAGGAATGCAAAATTCATATTTTTTGTGACACAATAATCTTAACATGCTCAAAAAGGAGAAAGAAGTAAGAAACTTATGAGCTCCTCCCCCATAAACTCGTACAACATATTCAGATGGACCCTCATTATTAAAACAAATAAAAAAATTAATGTTCCATTTTATCTGGGTTTACATGTCAATATATACATCCATACACACACACACACACACACACACACACACACACACACACACACACACACACACACACACACACACACACACACACACACACACACACACTCATATGTGTTAGCTTTAATTTACATATATCTTATTTGTGCTAATGCTCACCTATATTTCTATATCTTGTGAAAACGACCTTCTTAAATTGTATTAGATTTTGACTTTTTTAACTCCTCATTGAAGTTGTTCCATGATTTTACACCATAAATTGAAATACAAAAGCTCTTAGGTTTGAGTAATCTCTGAAAGTTATAGCCTCCTTATTTTACAAAACATGCTCTGTTTGAGCTCAGGTAGAAGTTAATTTGAGGCCTTAAACATAATTTGAGCAATTTTAAATTCCACCAGATCTTCAGATTTAATTTAATGACTGACCACATGTTCCTTCCACTGCGCTGTGAGGTGGAGGTATGGGCCATGTGTCCAGTGGGCTACTGGCTGGCACATCCACTTTCTGTCCCCCTACTCTGTTAATCTCTACACCTCTTGTGATGGGAGCCACTTTTTCTTCAATGATTTAGGAAACTAGGGATGCATGATGTTTCTGCATCAAACTCTATATTAGCCAACATATCTGTACCAGTCCACTAATTAAAACTGGGCCCACATTGACAAATGTTTATTTCCATCTTGTTTGGATATGCGTTTCAGGAGGGGGTCATGCATTTGATGGGATCATAATGCAGTACAGGATTGTGGGATGTTTAACTGAAGTCCCCCCCCTCCCCCAACAGTGTTAATCATCATCCATCCACATACCCACATAGCTCATTGAGACTATGTCATGATTTACTTTGGCCTGGCTGAACATTTACTTCTATTTTTCTGTTTGTGTTTTTTTCTAGATTTTTGGTCCAGTGATGCAGATCTTTAAATTTAAAACATTGGAGGAGGTTATAACCAGAGCCAACGACACCAAATATGGACTTGCAGCTTCAGTTTTCACAACTGACATTGACAAAGCGAACTATGTGTCCAGTGGGCTCCGGGCTGGCACAGTGTGGTATGTGGGTCTTTTCTGAAGACTTATCTAAGCCAACCTTAAATCATTAATTTGCTTGGTGAGGGACATAAAGTTATTGCCAATCAGATAGTGTGAAATTATTTAGAAAAATTGTATAAATGAAAGGAAAGGCCAGCTACAAAGTGTGGTGTGTATGTAGATAAAGTTGTTGGTACCTCTCTGTTAATAAATGAAAAACCCACAAAAGTTACGAAAATAACTAAGTTGACTAAAGGTAATAAAATAAAATACACTGAAAATGAACCAATGATATTCAGACATTGGTTTTGATGTTTAATCATTGTTTAATAATTCAACAGAATCATTAAAAAAAACTAATGGACAAAAATGATGGTACCTCTAGAAAAGATTAACAGAGACATGTTTCTGATCCGCTGAGATGTAGGCAAGGCAGGCACCAGTTCTTCATCTTTTCCTTTGGGGTCTTCATCTTTGTCTTTGGAGTCTTTGGGGTCTGAACCCAGCCTATGAGAGAAGTGCGATTTGAAGCCACATGTTGCGGGGCTGATGGGTTGGTCCCCATGTGCAGGACAGTCTTCGGCTCTGTGTCTCTGGCTCTTCTTCAGCTGCAGAGTTCTTTGTCCATCTCGGTCTTGGCTCGAAGCTGCCTGGAGGATCCAACCAAAGATTCCTCTTTTGCTCTCACCTTATATAGGGTTTATACCCGCTTTTGGTGCATTTGCATTGGCTAACACTGTTGCTGTGCTTGTTTCATTGGGTAACTTGTTTGGACAGATAAACTCATATCCATCACTGTCTTTGAGACATTATGTCCTGATGTCTTGGCTAATGTCTCAGGGTTGCTCAATGTTCCTCTCTTGGCTTTTCCTTGAAATGTTTAAGTTGTTCAACCATCTATGTCCAAATAAGGCGTTGATCATCTCTGCTCTCCTGTTAGTAGGTGAAAGGTTAGAGGTAAAAGGGGAACTATCTACCTCCAACACATCTGTGATCTTTCATTGCAGTTACACATTTTACACCATTCAAGTTCAATGTCAAAATCACATTCATAACCCTTTTAGTTCTTTGAAAACATTCATTTATAATTTTGTGATAACCACAACTTATTACTCTTATTATAATCATAATGTGAGGTATTACAGATGTTCTGAAAAGAAACAAAGAATAATCTATTATTGTAATTATTTGATCCAAAGTTACAGTCGCTTGTTTCACTTGTAAGTGTTCCCACAAGTGTAAGTATTGTTATAAGTAAACCATTATTAATATAAGTGTTTTACTTTGATTCTTATGTAATTACTCAAAATGTTTAGATTCCATCCTTTAAAATTTTTATATTTTTAAATAAGGACTGGTCTCAGCTATTTTTATACATCTTACTTCCTCTTTTTTCAGGAAACCTGCTCTTCGTGTCTCATCTCTCTCTCTGACTATGATTTCTTATGATTAGATAGAAAAAAGAAGTAGAATTAAAGCAACGTTTGCAGAAGACAAAAACACACACAACCAAATAATATTTCTTCAATAATCTTTATTTTATTGAAGTTTAAGTCTACTGTTGGGTAGAGGTTACTTGTGTGACTAATTTTAAAGGTAACTTTATTTATTGTTATGTTTAAACTAAAATCTCCAGCATGGGGAAGTGGGATGATCTCAGGTTTTCTTGACACATGTTAACTAAGGCGAGACCACTAAGCATTCCCGGTGTTTTCTAGGTTGTAATCAGTCAGTTGGCCTATTTAAATAGTGATCAGTTGTCCCTGTTCTGTTTGGTGACATGGTGTGTTGCACACTGAACATGGACCACAGGAAGTGAGGGCTGTCCTAGGAGATTAGAAAGATAATCATAGAGCAGCAAGTTAGAGGTAATGACTATTAGAGCGTCTCCAAACAGCTTGATGCTCTTCTGACTACAGAGATTATTCAGAAGTTACAGGGCCTCTAGACTGTTGCTAACCTCCCTGGTTGTGAGAGTAAAAATGGAGAGAAGGATAAAATGAATGGTGAGCAAAGAGCCCAGAACAACCTTCAAAGAAATAAAAGGTGAACTCCAAGGTCAAGGTACGTTAGAGTAAGATCACACACATCAGGTTTTCCATCATTGTTTGAGCCAAAGTAAACGTCGTGGGAGATGACCAAAGAAGAAAACAATGCATAAAAAAGCAAGGGTGAAATTTTCCACAATACATGTTGACAAACCACAAAGCTTCTGGGAAAATGACAGATCAGACAAAACTGGAGCTTCTTGGCAAGACACATCAGTTCTATGTTCACAGACGCAAAAATGAAGCAGATCAAGAGAAGAACGTAGTTTACTCTCGTCTGGAGAAGGCATCCTTCAAAACTGAGATGACTGGAACAGTTTGTCCACAAAGATTGGACCAGAATATCTGTGGACAGGTACAGAAGTCTCATTGACGGTTACAGAAATCCTTTGATTGCAGGGATTACCTCCAAAGGTTGGTCAACAAACTTTTAAGTTTCAGGCCCCATAACTTTTGTCCAGCACTATTTCATCAGGTTTTTCTTAATGATTCTGTTGTTGTTACAGTGCAAAGCAGGTGTTGCTGTGTCTGATTTATGTTCTAATATTAGTGATGTGGCATGAAAGGGAAACCGCATTAAATATAGACAAATAGTTTGTGTTGGTCATCAGTTTGGGATGATAGTCCATTTATAGTTTTGGAGATTAACTATAAAACACCAAATGTTTTTGACAACTTGTCCAGTGGGAGAGGCTGTCTGTCAGCCAGGTCAACTTGGTTATCAACCGAACAATGACACCAAGTCTTTGATGTCAAACAAATCAATTTCAATAGCCCAGTCAAAGTCCAGAGCTCAGTATGAATGCACTGGTACATGCCAATATATTTTGGCAAACAAAAAATGCAATGTAAACTGGAGCTCCTCAACTTTCTTCAACTTGCTGCTAAAAGTAGGTCAAATATAATATGCATCTAAAATGACTTTTTTTTCCCCTCTTTCTGCAGGATAAACTGTTACAACGTGTTTGCTTCCCAGGCTCCATTTGGAGGCTACAAAGCCTCAGGTAATGGCAGAGAGTTGGGAGAGTATGGACTGGAAGCCTACACAGAAGTGAAAACGGTAATTACCCAACACGCGCATCATATCCTGAAAACTAGTAATGAGTGCATCAAGTCTGAATTGGCCTGGTGGTGGTTGGAGCAGACAAGGTGTGGAGGGAGGAGTCTTAGAAATGAAGCAATGGGTTGACCAACAGGTAGAGAATTGATGGACTTATAAATGGCGAACCATTAACTGTAGCAATTCATCAGCTATTTGAGAAATAGAAATAAAATTAATTAAAAAAAATCTTAGTCTTGATCTAACAAGTCTATCTGAAGGGTCATTCTTTCAGTCTTCATTCTTAGAGTATTAATAAAAACTGACTGTACAGGATGGAGTCACTAAGAAAATATTAATAACCACACTGACATATTTTTGATGATTAAACAAGTCAAGTAAGAACATAAAAAAACATGGAATCTACTTGAGGAGGAATTTCAAAGGAAAGTGAAACTAAATGTTCACATGAACCTGATTAAACATCCAACTTTATAACATCAGAATCAGTGATTCTTTCTGAAAGGTGAATTCAGGTCCAGCTAACCTTGACTTAGTAAATACTTTTATCAAAACAAAATGTAAATTGTTGAAAGACACATGCCATGATCATGGAAATGATATCAATCTGTTTGAGAGGCATCAAATCGTTGGCATCTAAGGAGATTGCAAAGCCTACTGAAATTAGGTTCAGAACTGACCAACACATTATTAAAACAGGAAGGATAAAGGGGGCCATTTGTCTCTGAGGAAGAAATGAGGCTGGAAAAATATCCTGTATGGTTGTGATCTGTAATCACTTAAACACTTAAAATCAAATTGAAGGAAAAATAGAGTATGGCTATGTTTAATAGTGAAAGAGCATTTTCACATGCACAATGTAAAGAACTTAAGGGATTGGAAATGAGCAGCTGTGTATCCTTAAGAAAACCACAAATCATTGAGGCTAACCTGACAGAGGCTTCAATCTGCTAGGGAGCATAAAGATCAAACTCTGGACTCAAACCACATGACCTTTTCTGTTGCTCCAGATTTACCTTGTTCCAGAGTGACAGGTGCATCTGGGTAAGCAGAGAGGCAGGTGAAGTGATTACCCATCATGCCAAGCAGCCAATGTACAAGTGTGTGCTGTGGTTCCACGTTGCTGTAGTTAGTCATGTCTGGGGTCAGCAACAGTATGTGTTCAGAGTCCAGATGGCTATCTGAATATACTGAATGATCAGGTTATTCCATCAATGGATTTCTTCTTCCTTGATGTCACGGTGATATTCCAAGATGACAATGCATCAAGATGCCAGGATTCGACAGGCTTGAATTGAAAATGTGGCTCAAGGAGCATGAGACATAATTTTCACACATTGATTGGCCAGAGAATCTTTGGGATGTGCTGGAGAACTTTTCACAGTGGTCAGACTCTACCATCATCAATGTAAGGGCTTGGTGAAAATGAATACAGAACTGGCTGCAAATAAATCTAGTCAAAACAATGTCACAGCAAGTGTGTGCTGGTGTCAAGGCTAAAGGCAGTTCAATAAAATATTATGTTATTTCTTTGGTGGGAACTTTATTTATTTTTTTAAATAAAGAAATAAAGTTTATTTATTTAAAAAAATAAATAAACTTTATTTAACTCCACTGACAATTGCTTGGCACTAGTTCCGTCCATCTGTCCGTTAGTCATAGGACTGTCCCGACTAACCCCTACACAGAAGTTGCCGTCATCAGGCCAAGGAGTTTAGACTTTGGTATGATAATCTGCCTCAAACAAGATCTTACTAAAAATGATTCTTTCAAACCTTTTTATTCATGTTGACAGACTGACAGAGCCTCAAAACAAAGCATGAGACTTGCTTTCTGGAGCAGCAGATCTCCACTGAAATGCAGTAAAACAAGGATGCATTTAACCTTACTGAAGCAATGTATGACCAGAGAAATATTAAGTTTATATACCATTTGACATGCAAACAACTTGTAGAGCTCATAGTTGAGCTGTTGCATTCCATAAGTCAGGGCCGACTGTTAGCTATTTTTAGCAATTAAAATAGTGTAAAATCAGATCTAATGGTTTCACAGTTCACACCTCCAGCCGTCAGTCTGTCCTCAATAGCCGAGGGCCTGGAGACTCTGCATGAAGCAAAGCGTAGAACAGGGGGTTGCTGTTTTCCAGGCTACGGGACGAGTGAAAGATGAAATGTTCTTCTTGTTTCAGGTGACAGTCAAGGTGCCACAGAAGACTTCTTAAACATTTTCCTGGAAACCTGAGGCCTGCTGAGAGGAAAAGTTCAACCGTGACTTTTGGACTGCTTTGGATTATTCTCCTTTCTAATAAATATTTACACAGAAAGGAAATAAAAACTTGTTAAGGTTAACACCTGTTGATTTAACATAGACAGAAAAGACAAACAGAGTCAGTATTCTTGCTACTCGCGAGGAGAACGAACAGAGATGTGCTTCAGTAACAATCTCCTACCGCTCTAAAGCACATTTGTACGCCCCACGCTTTTTATTGTTTTAGGATCCCTAATCACAAGGACGCTGTAGCTCTAAAGGGAGGGGAAACAATTCATCACACAGCTACAGCGCTAATTGTCATTTACTAACTAATACACAAATGATCCTGGACTAGATAATCTCGTTCCTAACACAAAGTCTAGCAGAATATACATGTGATTCTTCACAGTGACAGTTTTATAGCATTCCAGCAACTCAGCGAAGCAGAACTCTTCACCAAGAGATGACCTGTGTCTGCTCTCCATCAGAGAGGCCTTCTGAGAAAGAAATCAGAGCAAATCAACAATATAGAAACATTCTAAATCCTATGATATTAAACAAAAGAAAGATAATACTATAAGGGTACATGAGAATAACGAATATTTGATTAACATATCATAATTTCTCTAACAAAACTGTACAACATCTTTTTCTCTCTTCTAGTAAAAATGCATATCTTGTTGCTAAGCTCTACAATTCATGACTGAAGCATTACAACAGATGAGTTATGATAAAATTACAAAGCCTATAATCAGAGAAGCTAACTGTAATTCAGATTTGGTAATGAATAACATTCTGCTTCTCTTTGCTTGGTAAATGTTTATTGTGAAAGCAATTGAGTGAAGTGCAACTTCCCCATGATGTCCGTACGCATGTCATTTTCAGATTGCTTATGTAACAAGTGGTACCACCAGGATTGCCAAGAAGCCCAACTGAGACAGATTGGTGAATGTGTACTTAAGAGATAGATTCTTTAGGAATAATTTTTGCTGAGTTACCCTTTGTTGTGACATAATGAATGCATAAGATCAAATAGTCAGTGACACCAGGTGAGGAAGGACTTCAGCAGCCTTCAAATGTCCCTTGCCAGAAAATGCATGCCCTGCAGTGTGGAAATATTTGATGGTAATGTGTTAGATGAAATTTTCTACCTGACATATCCTCTGAGCAATTGGTATACTTTTATATTTGAATGACGCCTTTCGAACTGAAAAACGGGACATGCAAATATTGGCAGGTGAATAACTTGCTTTGCCAAAAAATGCATCCCCCTGCTAACTTGGAGAAATAAAGAGTTAAGAATGAAATAACTTTTCCTACATAATCACATATACGTTTGATATCAATGGGAAAATAGACAGGAGATGCAGATAATGGCAGACGCAGAAATTAAAATGTATTCTCTCCTGTAGTAATATACTGGACAGTTAATGGTGATAGAAAATGTTCTACATGTTTTCTCATCTGTTAAGCTTTATGGTGTTAAAAGAAAAAGCGGGGAAGATCAGAGACTAAAAAGTTCGACTCATCTGTCTCAATAAAGTTATCAAAACCATATTTATTTCCATTCATCTGCAAAATGAAACCCGCCGTTTTATGAGTCACATGCTTAAGAAACATAATAATGTATCTTTAAAAGTTGCCTCTTTGGTCACATTTCAGTCATTAATATGCGCCTTCAGGGCTTTCAACTCGGCATGACGTCACAGAGCCTTGTACGGTTACAACGGTCAGACATCACCGTCATAAATCAATCAAAATAGAACCTCATCACGAGACGAACGGGCAGACGGCAGGAAACACCTTCACTGCTGCTGCTGCAAAATCTGGACTCGGGTAACATCTTTGACTTCTGCAAGTGCATTACCCATAATTCATTATGGGAAACAAATTCTATCTGGTACTGACAAATGTGGAGGTCAGTCCCTGATGTGGAGGTCAGTACTTGATGTGGAGGTCAGTCACTGATGTGGAGGTCAGTCACTGATGTGGAGGTCAGTGGCTGATGTGGAGGTCAGTACTTGATGTGGAGGTCAGTCACTGATGTGGAGGTCAGTCACTGATGTGGAGGTCAGTCACTGATGTGGAGGTCAGTGGCTGATGTGGAGGTCAGTGGCTGATGTGGAGGTCAGTACTTGATGTGGAGGTCAGTGGCTGATGGGAGGTCAGTCACTGATGTGGAGGTCAGTCACTGATGTGGAGGTCAGTCACTGATGTGGAGGTCAGTACTTGATGTGGAGGTCAGTCCCTGATGTGGAGGTCAGTAACTTGATGTGGAGGTCAGTGGCTGATGTGGAGGTCAGTCACTGATGTGGAGGTCAGTCACTGATGTGGAGGTCAGTCACTGATGTGGAGGTCAGTACTTGATGTGGAGGTCAGTCCCTGATGTGGAGGTCAGTACTTGATGTGGAGGTCAGTGGCTGATGTGGAGGTCAGTCACTGATGTGGAGGTCAGTACTTGATGTGGAGGTCAGTCCCTGATGTGGAGGTCAGTACTTGATGTGGAGGTCAGTGGCTGATGTGGAGGTCAGTCACTGATGTGGAGGTCAGTCACTGATGTGGAGGTCAGTCACTGATGTGGAGGTCAGTACTTGTGGTGGAGGTCAGTCCTGATTGGAGGGTCAGTACTGATGTGGAGGTCAGTGGCTGATGTGGAGGTCAGTCACTGATGTGGAGGTCAGTCACTGATGTGGAGGTCAGTGGCTGATGTGGAGGTCAGTCACTGATGTGGAGGTCAGGCTGATGTGGAGGTCAGTCACTGATGTGTGGAGGTCATCACTGATGTGGAGGTCAGTGGCTGATGTGAGGTCAGTCCCTGATGTGGAGGTCAGTACTTGATGTGGAGGTCAGTACTTGATGTGGAGGTCAGTCACTGATGTGGAGGTCAGTCCCTGATGTGGAGGTCAGTCACTGATGTGGAGGTCAGTCCCTGATGGAGGTCAGTCAATGATGTGGAGGTCAGTCACTGATGTGGAGGTCGTCCCTGATGTGGAGGTCAGTACTTGATGTTGGAGGTCAGTCACTGATGTGGAGGTCAGTCCCTGATGTGGAGGTCAGTGGCTGATGTGGAGGTCAGTGGCTGATGTGGAGGTCAGGGCTGATGTGGAGGTCAGTCACTGATGTGAGGTCAGTACTTGATGTGGAGGTCAGTCACTGATGTGGAGGTTCAGTACTTGATGTGGAAGGTCAGTCACTGATGTGGAGGTCAGTACTTGATGTGGAGGTCAGTCACTGATGTGGGAGGTCAGTCACTGATGTGGAGGTCAGTCACTGATGTGGAGGTCAGTCACTGATGTGGAGGTCAGTGGCTGATGTGGAGGTCAGTGGCTGATGTGGAGGTCAGTCCCTGATGTGGAGGTCAGTGGCTGATGTGGAGGTCAGTGGCTGATGTGGAGGTCAGTCCCTGATGTGGAGGTCAGTCCCTGATGTGGAGGTCAGTGGCTGATGTGCATCCACAGTCTACAGAGAGGAACAGACCTCAGAGGGGATTTAACATGGACCAGAAAGAAAGAGCTGATCATGGGTTGCATTTTTCACTTCTCTCTCAGACTTGTATTGAAAGCTGAATCAACAGATATTTGCTTGTAGCTTCCGTATTAATTTGAGGAGTTGTTGGTTTCTCATCTGTTAAGTTATTTGTCTTCTTCTTTGTTGCTCTACTGGCCTCTGAAAGTATTTGTGTTTTAGGGATTCTTCCCAAACTTCAAGATGCGTTTCTTTAATGACTTTCTTTGAATACTTTACATTAATGTTAGACAGGACGTCACCATGGCGACCCTGTTAGTGGTTTGTAATCAACATCTCGGTTCTGTGATTATTTTCAGACAATGCCTGATTTGTATTTTTCATCCACTTCTGCTTTCAGGAAATAGCTTTTTGCATAGATGTTCTAAATGAATATTCAGGTTATCTCTCCTACAAATATAAATGACTTAGTCCTAGTTTATTCATTTAAAGGGAACAAACGGATTGAACATCAAATCTTCCCAACAGTTAGGTGAGAGCAGCATGTGTTGAGCAGAGCCAATCAGCCTGCAGCAGGTGTGATAATGAAGCTGGCAGGTGAGCTGTGACATCAGATCCACGGGGTTTCCTGCGGGGGTTCCACTCTCCTCCAGTTTTGCTCTTCCTGTTGGCTGGTCATGTCGGCTTTTCTCTGGCTTCTCTGGAGGCTGCTTCATGTCACACTAGGAGGCCCGGTTCAGCATCCGGCGTCGTCAGAGGAGATGGTGCCTGCGTCGAACAGCGTCCCCATCCCTTCCTCCCACCGCCTGCCAGTTTTCCTGCACGCATCGATGCCGCTGGTTCCACCGGAGCTGTTCCGACCCGCTCCGTACGGAGGGCGTCTGCCCGCCGGGCTGGCCGGGCTGCTCGTCCCCCCGCTGCGGCAACATAAGAGCGTCCCGGACAAGGTGGCGCACGCGGTGACGCACGCGGTGGAGGCTTGGTGCGGCTCAGAGAACGTTTCAGTCCGCGTGGACCGCTTCCTGCTGCGGGCCTGGCGCGTGCCATCCCTGTTCCGGATAGGCTCGTGCACGCCGAGCGAAGTGACATCCCGCTTTTTGTACTTCCAGTACGGACTGCTGGAGTGTGGCGCACAAGTTCAGGTTAGAACGTTCATCTTACTGGGAACTGACAAGTTTGTGAAAGAGAAAGTGATTCTACCAAACCCTGCATGTCCTTGTCTACACTCAGAGAAATTCATCTCTGACCTAACACAAGTTTTTTCCCTTTTTTTTATTTCAACAGGTTTCACATAATTGTATTTCAAGTGAAAGCAAAAAACATAGTATTCTGACATATATTTTCTAAAATCAAATTAACGGATTAATCCATCTACTTCAGATTGACAAGAGAAATTAGTTGAACTAATTAGACTTTGTTTCTCTGACAAAGCAAACACTCATTCAGTGAACTAACCCTATATTAACTAAATTCAAGTTTGTCAATATGTTCACACGCAATAATGAAATGGGTTTAATGTAATTTTGTTAAAGTAATTATTTAACACCAGAGATCTTAAACAACATAATTTTGACCGAGTTAAAAAAACATCAAAAATCCTTTTCTCAAAAACACAGTTTGGCATCATTCTGGGATCAGGCATCATTCTGGGATCAGGCATCATTCTGGGATCAGGCATCATTCTGGGATCAGGCATCATTCTGGGATCAGGCATCATTCTGGGATCAGGCATCATTCTGGGATCAGGCATCATTCTGGGATCAGGCATCATTCTGGGATCAGGCATCATTCTGGGATCAGGCATCATTCTGGGATCAGGCATCATTCTGGGATCAGGCATCATTCTGGGATCAGGCATCATTCTGGGATCAGGCATCATTCTGGGATCAGGCATCATTCTGGGATCAGGCATCATTCTGGGATCAGGCATCATTCTGGGATCAGGCATCATTCTGGGATGAGGCATCCAAGATCTCATGTCTCTCACCTATTTGGGGTAATGACAGATTCAAACCACAGGGTTGAAAACATGACTTAAATAAAATATATTGAAGAAATTTTGAAGTTAACAACTGGTGAACAAATACAGTCTGCCCCAAAAGCACTTTAAGTACTTATAGAGTAGAAGTTTTGTTACTGCCTCACTGAAATCTACTGCTGAACCTCCACTTTCTACAACAGAGGATAAAACCATTCACCATCAGAGTAGATCCTTTTTCCAAATTTTATATTTTTCTTTTAGCATTGGAAGAAAATATTCTTATATTTACAAGCATGAAAAACTGATCTACAAACAGAAGCCCCTGAGAATGAATGAAATAACTCATGTCTATTGGCACAAACACAAAATATTATCACAAGGTCCAGATTACTACAATACAAATGGTTATTTGTAACGAATGTCACTGCTGTAAAACTTCATTTCAATTCAAATATTTCTGATGTGTATGTCAGATGTATCATAAATAAGAGTTTCCATTGTATGTGGCAATGCAGCTTCAAACTTTCTGGAAGAAGGTTCTCATGTTCCTCTCTAGCTTGATTTAACAGGATGTTCCAATGGACAGTACATTTTACAGCACAGTTTTCCTTATGGCTTTAAAGCAGCGGTCACCAACCTTTTTATTACCATGGACCGGTCAAAACTTGGCAATTTTGCTGCGGCCTGGGGGTGCGTAAGATAATAATGAATGTTGGTGTTTCTGCTCCCCCCGGTTTTTCCTTTACGACAATCTTACAAAGTCCTGTAGTGAGTGGTGTGTTGAATATTCCAGATCTAAAATCGGGCATATTCAACACTGTCTCGGTCCGATCGCAGTCTGTGAGGTTTTCCCTGACTCGGAATGAGAACGCAGTCTGTTGAGTGTGACAGATAGCTAATCATGTTGTGTAAAGATCTTAAGGCCTTTTTTTATTTCTTTCCAGGTTGCTGGTGGTCAGCTGGTGTATTCTTATCTGTTGAACTACATTCCTCCCTCACAAGGCTACGTCATCAGAGTTTTTCCAATTAATCTTCCCATCCACTGCTATTATAACAGGTAATTATTGATCCCCACAATTTTTGTTGAACTATTAAAAAGCTACATTAAG